CAGCTCAGGTTATGCTCCCAGGGTCCCCAGGCCTCTCTCTCTCTAATAAATCAATAAAATCTTTTTAAAAATGTATATGAATGCAAAGAACCTAGAACAATCCAAACATCTTTGAAAGAAAAAGTTGGAAAGATTTTCTTTCTGATTTCAAGACTTAGAATAAAACAATAGCATGATATTATCCTACAAACAAATGTGTACATTAATGGAACAGAAGAGAGTCCAGAAATTGAGCTGAATAACAGATTTTTTAAAGGTGCCAAAGTAATTAAATAATTCTCTTTCCAATAAATCATTGCAGAATAACAGGATATACATTTGGAAATAAATGAACCTCAAACCTCACCTCACACTATATACAAAAATTATCTCCAATGGATCATAAACCTAAATGTAGAAGCTGAAACTCTAAAACTTTTAGAAGAAAAGAGAGGACAAATATATTGTGTCCTTGGTATAGACAAAATTTCTTAGATGCTTATATGTCCTATAATAAAATTTTAAAAGAAAACTTTGATAAATTGGGTTCCATCAAAATTTTAAAACAACTGTTCTTCATAAAACACTTTTAAAAATGAAAAGACAAGTCATAGACTGAGAGAAAATATTTAAAATACATATATCTAATGAAGGACTAGTATGCAACATATGTAAAGAATTCCTAAACTTAATATACATATAATTCAGTTAAAAACAAGCAAAATATTTAAATTGAGGTTTCGTAAAGGAACATATATTAATGGCTAATGGGCACATCAAAGCATACTCATTGTCATTAGATACTTTCAAAAGTCAAATTAGAACCACAGTGAGGTGCTTGAGTGACTCAGCTGGTTATGTGTCTGACTCTTGATTTTGGCTCAGATTACAATATCAGAGTCGTGAGATTGAGCCCCACGTCTGGCTCCATGCTCAATGCAGAGACTTCTTCAGATTCTCTCTCCCTTTCCCTCCCCCTTTGCCCCTCTGCCCATTCGCACTCTCTTTCCCTAAAATAAATAAAACTTTAAAAAATGATAAAACCATAGTGAGATACAACTACATGTCCCCTAGAATATCTAGAATTCAAAAGACTGACAATAACAATGTTGATGAAAATGAGAAGCAACTGAAACTTCCATACAATTGTTGGTAGGAATGTAAGATAGTACTGCCACTTCAGAAAGCAGCCTGGCACTTTTTTTATAAGGTTAAACATACATTTACTCTATGACTTGATAATTTCACTACTAGGTATTTATCCAAGAATAAAAAAAAAAAACAGGTATAAGGATATAAGTGGCAGCTTTATTTGTAACAGTCAAAACCTAAAAACAATTTGAATGTCTATCAACCAGCGGGTGGGTAAACTATTTCTGGTATATCTGAATACAGGGATATTACTAAGCAATATAAAAAATGAACTATTGACACAGGCAACAACACAGATAAATATCAAAAGCATCATTATAAGTGAAAGAAGTTAAACACAAAACAAGTATATACTAGATGATTCTACTTATTTGAAATTCTAGAAAAGGTATGATAATAGAAGATGGTGGAGTAAGGACTGGTGGGAGGTGGGGTTAATGGCAAAGGGGGAGGGAAATTTATGGATTAATGAATATGTTTTCTTTCTTGATTGCAGTTATAGTTATAACTTGATTATCATTATATATAGTTATAAGTTGATTACTTGATAGCTTGAATATAGTTATAACTTGATTGCAGGCTGTAGTTATAGGTATACCCACCTGTCAAAATTCACTGAACTCAACTCTTAAAATATGAATGTTTATATTGTATTAAACATTTCAATGATGCAAATTTTATAAAAGAAATGTAATATTTAAACATATGAAAATTCCCAATTTCACTATAAATAGATAAAACTATACTTAGAGGGGCCCCTGGGTGGCTCAGTGGGTTAAAGCCTCTGCTTTCGGCTCAGGTCGTGATCCCAGGGTCCTGGGATCGAGCCCCGCATGGGGCTCTCCGCTCAGCGAGGAGCCTGCTTTCCTTCCTCTCTCTCTGCCTGCCTCTCTGCCTACCACCTGTGATCTCTGTCAAAAAAAAAAAAAAAAAAAAAAAAAAAAAAAAAAAACTATACTTAGATACCCATTCTCATATTTAGTAGACAATATATTCAGCTGGTGAATTCTTTAAGAAACTGATTTTTACATGCATTGTGGAAGGAGAGGAAAATGGTACAATTCTTTCTGAGGAGTATCAGACAGTATCTACTTGAATTGTAGATCCATCTACTCTAATCCCACAATCCCATTTCTGTGACTCTATCCTACAGAAATACCCACATATATGTGCAAAAGACCAGAAACAACCCAAGTGTCCATCAAAAGGAGACTGGTTAAATAAATCATAGTACATCCACACAATAGAAAGCAAGACTGCTCTAAAGAATGAGGAAGACTTTTTTGTATGATATGGAAGGATCTCTAGGAGCATCTTAGTAAAAAGAAAAAGAAACCAGGAAAGGAGGAAATCTGAATAAATATTCAAAATTTTTATATTTGAATAAAGAAATACTGGAAGGAGGGGCGCCTGGGTGGCTCAGCGGGTTAAAGCCTCTGCCTTTAACTCAGGTCATGATCCCGGCGTCCTGGGATCAAGCCCCACATTGGGCTCTCTGCTCGGCAGGGAGCCTGCTTCCCTTCTTCTCTCTTTGCCTGCCTCTCTGCCTACTTGTGATCTCTGTCTGTCAAATAAATAAATTAAATCTTTAAAAAAAAAAGAAATACTGGAAGGATAAATAAGAAACTAACCAAAATGGTTACTAAAAATCAACTTGCCTTTTTAAAAAAGATTTATTTATTTATGTATGTATTTAACACAGAGAGAAAGAAAGAGAGAGTGCATAAGCAAGGGGAGCAGCAGGCAGAGGGAGAGGGAGAAGCAGGCTCCCCTAGGACCAGGAAGCCTGAAGCGGGGCTCCATCCCAGGACCCTGGGATCATGACCTGAGCCAAAAGCAGATGCTTAAAGGACTAAGCCAACCAGGTGCCCCACAACTTGCTTTTAATTAGAGCACCCTGAGTTCTTTTTTTTTTTTTAAGATTTTTTTTTATATTAGAGAGAGAGTGGGACAGTGCAAGCAGGGGAAGATATAGAGGAAGAGGGAGAGGATCTCAAGAAGACCTCCACTGAGCAGGGAAACTGACTCAGGGCTCAATCCCACAACCCTGAGATTATGACCTGAGCCGAAATTAAGAGTCAGATGCTCAACCGACTCAGCCACCAGGCACTCTGAGCACTACTGAGCTCTTTGGGAATAGTTTTGGTAAAAGTTACTGAAGTCTTGCCTGGAAATTCCTTCTTTCCTTCCTTCCACTCCTCTCTTCCACCTTTTCTGCTCTTTCTCCCTTCCTTCCTATAAAAACGCACTGCTTCTATGTAAGAGGGTTTGGGAAGAGAAGGAAAGATAACAGTTCCTTGGGTCAGAGCCAAGAAATCCTATAGCTGTAGTTTCCATGATACCTAAGTGTAAGGACCTATTTAGCCAGAGCGACTCCATCTTGGTTTAAAGCCATTTTATTGTTTGTGCAGTAAAACTTAAACAGACCCTGCCCCCACAGAGAAACTTACTTAGAAGCAAGTCTGGGAAACCAGTAAAATATGGTCAGCCAGTTCCTAATAACAGAGCCCAGAATACAAGGCCAGGTCGGCCAGTTCCTGATAACAGAGTCCAGAATACAAGGACGAGTCAGGCCAGGTGGAGACATCCAATCAGTAAGAAACACACATACTTTTTCCCTAACCACCAAAGAATGTAAACCCCGCCGTTTGGGCGCCAACCTTGAGCACCAATTCTGACCAGAGTAATAGGTTAGGTCAAACAGCTACTATAGGGTAAATTGTAATTCAATTGGCCACCTGCACGTGGCCTAACATGACTATACGATGTTACAATCTCATTGGCTACCTATATGTAGCCAGGTTTTTGCTCTATAAAAATTAGTCTGTAAGGCTGGGAAGGGTCACTCTCCTCGGAGCGGCCCTGGCTGGTCAGTCTGATTTCTAATGCTTGGCATAGTTTAAAGCTTTGCATAACTTCAACTTTGTTTACGTCTAATGCTTAGCATAGAATAAAGCTTTAAATAACTTTCACTTGTCTCAGTCTCGTTTCGTTTAATAACGGACCTAACATAAGACATCTGGGCTATAGGGACAAAGGAGCTACAATAAAAACTAGATCAGCCACAAAGGATGTCACTCGTCTTAGGTAAGTAAGAGGAAAGCCCCCCGCCAAAGCAGTCTAGCTCCTTGCCCTGAGTGTCTGACACAGCCCTATCTAAAACATACGGGCTCCCACTGCATTCCAGCTTGATGGTGATTGCTTTGCCCACCACTGCAGAGGCTGATCATGCTGAAAAGACCAGAGACCATGCACAGCATCTAAGCCTTTCTGGTTCTTTACTATAGTTTGTTACTTTAAGTGGGACTCCAAATACCCACTCTGTCATCGTTGGTTGATTCTATAAATCAATTTCATTTGATGATTAAAAATGCCCAAATTGGGGACGCCTGGGTGGCTCAGTTGGTTAAGCCGCTGCCTTAGGCTCAGGTCATGATCCCGGCGTCCTAGAATCGAGTCCCGCATCGGGCTCCTTGCTCAGCGGGAGCCTGCTTCTCCATCTGCCTCTGCCTGCCACTCTGTCTGCCTGTGCTCACTCTGACAAATAAATAAATAAAATCTTTTAAAAAATAAATAAATAAAATAAAAATGCCCAAATTGGTTATATCCTTGTACAATTCCTTTTTTTTTTCTTTAAAAAAGAATATAGTCCATTATATTCTTCATATAAATTTTCCCTGTGGGGAAGATGTGAACAGAAACACATCCTCTGTACCCCAATTTCTTCCTCTACTCTAATTGGCCAAGCAATAGAAAAAGACAAGCAATAAGAGGAGAGAAGCAAATAATTAGTATAATCACTCAGTGTACTATGCAAAAATGCAACTCACTTCATAATTTGAAATCAGAAATAATAGACTTTAAAATACCTGTTCTCTCTGTTCAGCACCCACACTTTTCCCAGGGGAGTGGTTTCCAAGTTGCTTATTCTCTTGAGATTCACGAATCTCTCCTTTAAGTCTTTCAACCTTAAATACAAAAGTATTTTAAATATGAGAGGATGGGGTAGGGGATGTGGTTTGCTTTGTTTTTAAAAGATATAAGTAATACATGAATACATTCTTCATGAAAAAATTTCAAACAACATATAGGTATACAGAGTAAAAAGTGAAATTTTCCCTCACATAACCTTACCCCACAATCCCATTTCCCTTTCCAGAAGTATAACAATGTTTGGGATACACCCTTCTTAAATTTTATCATGTATGTGTGTGTATGTATTACATATATAAGTATATGTTGGTATTAAATACGTAAATGTAAAAAGACTAAGACAACTTGAACAGTTGTTGTCTACTCATTTTTTTATGACTGCATTTTAAAAATAACGATAAAATATACATAATATAAAACTTATCATGTTGACCATTTTCAAGTGCACAGTTCAATATTATTAAGTACATTCTAATTATTATGTACCATCACCATCATGGATCTCCAAAATTCTTTTCATCACTCAAAACTGAAACTCTATGCCCATTAAATAAGAATTCCCTATTCTGCCCTTCTCTCCCCGCAGTCCCTGGCAACCACCATTCTATTTTCTGTCTCTATGATTTTGGCTACTTCTTGGTACCTCATAAAAGGGGAATCATATACTATTTGTCCTTTTCTGTCACATTTCAATTAGCATAATGTCTTCAAGTTTCAGCCATGTTCCAGCATAGGTCGGAATTTTCTTCCTATTTAAGGCTGAATAAAATTCCATTGTATAGTCCACATTCTGTGTATCTATTCATCCCTCAAAGGCTTCAACCTTTGGGCTGTTGTGAATAACACTGCTATGAACACGAGTGTGCAAATATCTGTTCAAGTCTCTACCTTCAACTCCTTGGGTATATACCCAAAAGCAGAATTGCTTGATCATATGGTGATTCCACATTTACTTTTTAGGGAAAGTGCCATGCTGCTTCCTACAGTGACTGCAGCAACATTTTTCATTCTCAACAAGGCACAAGGATTCCAATTTCTCCAGATTACCATCAACATTTGTTATTTTCTGTTGCTTTGATGAGAGCCAATCTAATGGGTATTTATTCATTCTTGCAACAAAATTACTTGAGCACTTATTATCGTGTGATACACAGGTTTTGTGTGAGATGCTAGAGATATGGTTGTAAAATGAATATAAACTAAAATTGAAGACACATATACCCAGAACTTGGAAGTACATATTAAAAATCAAAAATTACTAAAAAGAAATGGTTCACAAATGTGACACAACTCAAACTTAAATCTATATTAAAAAGAAAAGATCAAAAAAAAAAAAAAAAGAAAAGATCTTAGGGGTGCCTGGGTGGCTCAGTGGATTAAATCCTCTGCCTTCGGCTCAAGCTGGGATCGAGCCCCACATCGGGCTCTCTGCTTGGCAGGGAGCCTGCTTCCCCCTCTCTCCCTGCCTGCCTCTCTGCCTACTTGTGATCTCTGTCAAATAAATAAATAAAATATTTTAAATAAATTTAAAAAAAAAGAAAAATCTTAAAAGAAAAAAAAGATCCTAAATTGACACAATAGCAAAACATTACTGTTTAGCACGGGTAGTTAAAATGTATAAACATAAATACTGATAGACCGTATCAAGGTCAGGGAATGGCATCTATCTGGGATGCTCTAGCCACCAGGACTGGTCGTCACTAATGATATATATGTAGTGCTTTAGCTGCTGATTGTTATTTTATATGCATTTAAATACATTCTAGGGGCGCCTGGGTGGCTCAGTGGGTTAAAGCCTCTGCCTTTGGCTCAGGTCATGATCCCAGCATCCTGGGATCAAGCCTCGCATTGGGCTCTCTGCTTGGGAGGGAGCCTGCTTCCTTCTCTCTCTCTCTGCCTCCCTCTCTGCCTACTTGTGATCTCTGTCTGTCAAATAAATAAATAAAATCTTTTAAATAAATAAATAGATACATACATACATACATTCTAAAAACAAATTACATTAAACAACTTACCACTTCTCCAAGCACTTTTTTTTCTGAGTCAAGTGATCGAACCCGATTTCTTAAAGCCAGAATTTCCTTGTCCAGTCTCTGATTATGTTCCCTTGCTTTCTGTAGGTCAACCGAATCTAAAACAGAGAACAGGACACAGTTGGCTCAACTGGATCAGAGTTTCGATTTGAGGGACTAACTTTAAAAACCAAGGAAGTGCTGTTTCCTCCCTTCTCGTCAGTCCTTCCATGTCTCTACTCATGTGACTCCCTGAACGGGAGAGCTGCTACTCTCAAGTCCAGCCCTAGAATATTCTACCAACCTATCAAAACAGAATTTTTTTCTCACACCAAACTAATGAGCTGGATTTTTTGAGAATAGGATTTCCGGCAATAGAGGCTCTTTGACTTAAAGCGGTGGAACCTACGTTCTAAGATTTATACAAATGAGAAAATTATCTTCCCATCTTGCTTGTGGTCCTTTCTTACACACCGTATATACTCCTAGACACATATCTTCTACTCAGCAACAGTAGCGCCCCACAGATGACAAGTGCTGAGCCACGAGCACTGAATGGACAGATTTTCCTAGCTAAATCAAGTTCATGCACCAAACCATCTTTCTGCCTGCCCCACAGCCCATAAAATGGTAGTCCTCTCTGAGCTTAGCACCTCGAGGTAAGACCTGCTCTTTCCAGTGCTCACCAGTTTCAATATGGCAAACTTGCTACCTGAGACTTTCCTGAATTTGTAGCTGTTTCTTTTGAGCTACTTCTGCTCATACTTCTCTTATTTTTCTTCTGCTGCTTTCAAGTCTCCTTTGTTTTCCTTCTTCATCACCTGTTCTGTATCAATTATGCCTTGTGTTTTTTCTTTCCTCCTTTTTTTCTTTTGTCCCCTTCCTATTTTTTCTCCCATATGTAATTTTTTTATTTGAAAAGTTGAAAACACACCAAAAAGGAAAAAAAATCATTCATAATCCCACCCTGTATGTGTGAGTGGATGCGTATATATAATGAGAGAGACAGAGACAGTTTTTTGCCTGCGCAGTTTTTAAAGATTTAAACAATGCTACATAATCTGTCTGCAACTTTACCACTTGTGACTATATCATAGATGTCTTTACAGGAAAATCCTTATAAAGTCACTTTCCATTTCTCATTTGGAACTATTTTTAGATTAGTTTTTTAAATTTATTTAAAAAAATTTTTATTAACATATAATGTATTATTAGCCCCAGGGGTATAGGTCTGTGAATCGCCAGGCTTACACACTTCATAGCACTTACCATAGCACACACCCTCCCCAATATCCATAACCCAACCACCCTCTCCTACCTACCTTCCCCCGGCAACCCTCAGTTTGTTTTGTGAGATTAAGAGTCTCTTACGGCTTGTCTTATTTTTAGATTAGTTTTACTGGTCCTTGCTCTTCCTATAAATGGAATCTTAATATATGTATTTTTTGTGTCCGGCTTCTTTTGCTCAATATACATTTTGGGGATGCCATCTGTCATATCGATAATTTATTCCTCTCTATCTTTAGCCCATCTTATTCATATACCACTTATTAATATACCAGTCTTCATCCAGTCTCTCATTTTGTTCTGCACAGTGCAGCACTGTCCCAATGTGCCACAATGTGTGTCACTTTTCCCCTATTGAGGAAGATTCAGGTGTGTTGCCCGTGCTTTACTCTTACAAACAATTCTAACATCGTTATCCTTGTTTATCAATCTTTAGGCATTTATGACATTATTTCCAAAAAATAAATCCCCAGAAATGGGACAGCTGGATTGTAGGGTATGTGCATTTAGAAAATTTGATAGATATTGCCAAATTACTCTTTATTTTTTAATCATTTTTTTAAAAGATTTTACCTATTCGAGAGAGAGCAAGAGACAGAGAGAGCATAAGCAGAGGGAGAAGCAGATTCCCCACTGGGCAGGGAGCCCAATGCGGGGCTCAACCCTGCCAGGATCCTGAGATCATGACTTGAGCAGAAGGCAGATGCTTAACTGACTGAGCCGCCGAGGCGCCCCCCAAATTACTCTTTTAAAAAGATTGTAGAAAGTTACATTTTGTGCAATGACACCGCCCATTTCTCCACACTGAATGTTACCAGAATTTCAATTTTCATAAACCTTAAAAATGCATTTGAATAATGGCTCATTGTAAACAATGATTTATTTATTTTAGAGAGAGAGAGAGAGAGAGAGAGTAAGGGGGGGCCAGAGAGAGAGGGAGAGAGGAAACCCAAGCGGACTCTACAGTATGTGCAGAGCCTAACGCAGGGCTCAGTCTCACAACCCTGAGATCAGTCAGGCCTGAGGCGAAACCAAGAGTGGGACACAACCAACTCTACCACCCTGGCACCCTAATAATGACTTGTTTTAAATGCAATATTGTTTTGCTGATCACAATATGAATGAACATAGGCTTTTTGTTAAAAAGAAAAAGGTAGGGCGCCTGGGTGGCTCAGTGGGTTAGGCCGCTGCCTTCGGCTCAGGTCATGATCTCAGGGTCCTGGGATCGAGTCCCGCATCGGGCTCTCTGCTCAGCAGGGAGCCTGCTTCTCTCTCTCTCTCTCTCTCTCTCTCTCTCTCTCTGCCTGCCTCTCTGTCTACTTGTGATATCTCTCTGTCGAATAAATAAATAAAATCTTTAAAAAAAAAAAAAAAAAAAAAGAAAAAGGTATACGGTTATGTTCAAAGTGAATATTCTCGTCTAACCCTTACTCACCATCCTGACCCAAAATAATATGGTTAATATTTAGTAAATATTCTTCAAAATATTTTATATGCATATTCTTCAGATAAGAGTTGTACTAAAAATATGCAATAACTCCTAAATCATGGCCCCTCACGTATAAGAACATAGCTCCAGAGAAGAGTTCTAGAGAATTGCTAAGTATTATCTGTTTAGTGGCTGGGAAGACAAGGGGCAGGGAGGAGCTTGGCCAGCTGGAGTAGGTGACAGACAGCTGAAAGACTCAGGCCAGCAGCTATTTACAACTGATACAAAATTATTCCAGTGTCTTCACAACTTTATTGCCATACATTAATGTGTACCACCTCATAGCAGTCCTGTGAACATACACACACAGACACACATACACAAAAAATAAAAACCAGAATAGCATTATACCACATATACAACTTGCTTTTTTCACTTGATAATATATCACAGATATCTATTCACATCTGTGCACATAGATTTATGTCCTTATTAATAGATACCCAGTCACTTAGTTAGCCAATCCATTGTGGATAAATACAACTTAATTTTGTTACCCCAAAAGTTACTTCCTACTCTTTGTACTTCTCTTTTTTTTTAAGATTTTATTTATTTATTTGACAGAGAGAGAGAGATCACAAGTAGGCAGAGAGGCAGGCAGAGAGAGGGGGAAGCAGGCTCCCCGCTGAGCAGAGAGCCTGATGTGGGGCTCAATCCCAGGACCCTGAAATCATGACCTGAGCTGAAGGCAGAGGTTTAATCCACTGAGCCACCCAAGTGCCCAGTACTATTAATTCTTAAAACTTTTTTTTTAGAATTTACTAGTGAAGACATCTGAGCCTAGAGTTTTCTTCATGGGAAGATTTTTAACTACAAATTCAATTCCTTGGGCAGTTCTTCTTGAGTGAGTTTTAGTAGTTTGTCTTTGAATGAATGTGTTCATGTCATACAGGTCATCAAATATAGTGGCATAAAGTTGTTCAAAATATTCCCTTGTTATCTTTTTGGTCTGTAGAAATGTTCTGTAATTTCTTGTATTGGTGATTTGTTGTCTTCTCTCTTTTTTTCATGATCAAATTAGAAGTTTACCAGTGTTACTGATCCAAAGAACCACTCTTATTCTACAATATACTCTCTTGTGGTTCTGTCTTTAATTTTTTTGACTTCAACACTTATTTTTTTTTAAAGATTTTATTTATTTATTTGACAGACAGAGATCACAAGTAGGCAGAGAGGCAGGCAGAGAGAGAGGGAAGCAGGCTCCCCGCTGAGCAGAGAGTCCGATATGGGGCTCGATCCCAGGACCCTGGGATCATGACCTGAGCTGAAGGCAGAGGCTTTAACCCACTGAGCCACCCAGGCGCCCCTCAACACTTATTTTTAATACCACTTTCATTTCACTTGTTTTGGCTGGGTTTTTAAGGTGAAAGGTTGGATCACTTTGAGTCCTTTATCAATTTCTGGTATAAGCATTAAATGGTATAAATTCTCATCCAAGCACAGATTTGGTTACTTCCCCCAAATATTGATCTATTTTTTTTCATTTTCATTCAAGTTAATTCATGGAAAATATTTTCTAACATCTCTTGTAATTTTTTCTCTGAAGGCATGGCAGTTTAGAAATACCTTATTTGGGGATGCCTGGGTGGCTCAGTCAGTTAAGCAGCTGCCTTCGGCTCGGGTCATGATCCCAATGTCCTGGGATCGAGTCCCACATTGGGCTCCTTGCTTGGCAGGGAGCCTGCTTCTCCCTCTGCCTCTGCCTGCCACTCTGCCTGCCTGTGCACGCTCTCTCTCTCTCTCTCTGACAAATAAATAAGAATAAAATCCTTTTTAAAAATTTTAGAAATATCTTGTTTGGCTTCCAAATATTTGGGGATTGTCTAAACATACTTCTGTTATTGATTCTTAGTTTAATTTTATTATGGTCAGAGAACACAATTTGTGTGACTTCAGTTCCTCCACAGAAAGTTGTTTTACGGCTCAGTACAGCCTCTCCTTGTGAATGTTCCATGCATACTTGAAAAGAACCTGTGATTTGGTAGAGTTTTCTATAATTATCAATTTGCTCATGTTGGTTGGTACTATTCTTAAGTCTTTATCCTTGCTGATTTTGTTTCCTTGTTTTATTAGTTGCTAAGAAAGCAGTGTTCATGTTATAAATATTCATAAATTAAGAAAGGAAGGGTTAACAATCCTGATCACCAATTACAATGTGTGGGGTTTTTTTTCGCCACACATCCAGGCAATTTTGGACACCAGCCGGGTATCCTATAATTCAACTCAATTCTGACACTATCTAGCTTGAGACAGCATCAGATTCCATAGGTAAGGGCTCTGTCCCACAAGAATGCCTACCATTTTTTTTTAATAAATTTTATTTTTTTAAACATATAATATATTTTTATCCCCAGGGGTACAGGTCTGTGAATCACCTTGTTTACACATTTCACAGCACTCACCATAGCACATACCCTCCTCAATGTCCATAACCCCACCCCCCCTCTCCCAAACCCCCTCCCCGCATCAACCCTCAGTTTGTTTTGTGAGATTAAGAGTCACTTATGGTTTGTCTCCCTCCGAATGCCTACCATTTTAAATGCCAATGACAAACCCATCTTGTTACCATCTTGTGCTTCTGACAGACTGGTTATAAATCAGGGGTTGCTATGACCCCTACCTTAATTTGATTAATTTGTTAGAGTGGCTCACAGAATTTACAGAAACATTTTACTCACTAGATTACCAGTTTATTATAAAAGGATATAACTCAAGAATAGCCAGATGGGAGAGAGGCATAGGGCAAGGTATAAGTAAAAGGGTGAGGAGTTTCCATATCCTCTCTGTGCATACCACTCTTCCCAAATCTCCATGTGGTCACCAACCCAGAAGCTCTCCAGACTCTGTCCTTTGGGGTTTTTATAAAGGCTTCATTCATAGGCATGAGTGATGAAATCACTGGCCATCGGTGGCTGAACTCAATCTCTAGCCACTGTCCCCTTCCAGCCTCTGATAACCTAGAGGTTTTCCAACAGTCCCCATTAACATAACAAAAGACACTTTTTATCATTCCCATCCCAGGAAATTTCAAGGGTTTTAGAAGCTTGGTGGCAGAAACGGGGCCAACAACGACAGATGAATAGATAAAGAAGATGTGGTGTACACACACACACACACACACACACACACACACTGGAATATTACCCAGCCATCAAAAAAATAAAATCTTGCCATTTGCAATGATGTGGATGGAACTAGAAGCTATTATGCTAAGTGAAATAAGCCAATCAGAGAAAGACAATTATCATATGATCTCACTGGTATGTGGAATTTAAGAAACAAAATAGACTATCACAGGGGAAGAGAGGAAAAAATAAAACAACACTAGACTAGAGAGGAAGACAAACTGTAAGAGACTCTTAATCGTAGGAAACAAACCGAAGGTTGTTGGAGGCGAGGGGAGTGGGGGGATGGGATTACTGGGTGATGGACATGAAGGAGGGCATGTGATACATCATGAGCACTAGGTATTATGTAAGACTGATGAATCACAGACCTGTACCTCTGAAACCAATAAAACATTATGTGTTAATTAATTGAATTAAAATAAAAATTTTTTAAAAAGAGGAACAAAGACCAAATATATATTTCTTATTACAAAGCACTGGGTAAACCTAGTTTTAGAATTATTTAAAATGGGTAATATGCTATGGATGCCAGGAAACAAACTGAGGGTTTCAGAGGGGAGAGGGGAGGGGGATGGGTGAGCCTGGTGATGGGTTTTAAAGAGAGCACATATTGCGGTGAGCACTGGGTGTTATACTCAAACAACGAATCATGGAACACTACATCAAAAACTAATGAAATACTGTATGGTAACTAACATAACATAATAAATAAATAAATAAATAAAATGGGTGACATGTTTTTAATTATTTTTGTAGTTGCTACCATCGTAACACTCAAATTTCTTTGTATTATTTATAGCTGGTAGCGTTTTTACATAGTCAAACTAGGGTCAGATTAACTAATTCATCATGGATTCGAAGCCTGTTGGCTTCCAGGTAAACAAGTATGTGTGAGGTATTGTTGAATTCATCATAAGGTGTCTTGATCTCAGTGGTAAAATATGTACTATTGACTGCAGGTTTTGGAGTCAGATATCTATGGGTTCAAATACCAGCCCTACATTACTTAATTCATTAATACTTAATGTAGCTATTGGATAACTCACTTAACCTTGCCATAACTCAGCTTCTTTGTCTATGAAATGGAAATAATAATACTCACTACTTGGAATTGTTGTGAGGATTAGAGTTCATATATATATGGCATCTGTTACTCAGTAAGCACTCAGCAAGTGGTAGTAGTTGTTATAGTAGTAGAAATAAGTAATAACAGTGACAATAGGCTTTATTGTTATTATTAGAGAAGATACTATGTTAAAACATGTACAATACATTTATGCTATTAATGTATATTAAATATATCTGCTAACACGCATGGCTCACCTTTTTCTTTCAGCTTTGTCAAATTTTCTTTTAGTTTCTCAATTTCTAGCTGAGCCTTCTGAAGTGCAGAATCTAAAGAAACAAGAAAATATTTCTATTAAGGAGCAAATGTTTAGTGTAATGATCACATTTAAAATGATTCCCTTTTTTTGGAACATTCCCCTTTTGCTGATTGTCCTTTGAGTTTCTACATAAATGTCACCTCCAGGAAACTTTTCCAGACTTGTCCTCTTAGTGCTCCTACTGCGCCCTATCATTATTCCTGATTATGTGATCTCATAATATTACTGTTTCCCTAACTAGAGTCCATGTTGAAGAGCTTGGACCACTATAATCAATAGGAGCAACTCAACTTTTTAAGCATGGTACCATAAGCTTTAATTACACTCAGAAACTTTTTTTTTTTTAGATTTTATTTATTTATTTGACAGACAGAGATCACAAGTAGGCAGAGAAGCAGGCAGAGAGAGAGAGGGGAAAGCAGGCTCCCTACTGAACAGAGAGCCCAATGCGGGGCTTGATCCCAGGACCCTGGGATCATGACTTGAGCCGAAGGCAGAGGCTTTAACCCACTGAGCCACCCAGGCGCCCTGACACTCAGAAATACTTAAAATTAATTCTTGCAATTAGTAATACTTAGAATTTTACCAGTAGTGCTCAGCATCCAACTCTTGATTTTGGCACAGGTCATGATCTCAGGGTCATAAGATTAAGCCCCACATCAGGCTCTGCATTCAACAAGGAGTCTACTTGATATTCTCTCTCTTTCTCTCCCTCTGCCCCTCCCCTGCCCCACACATGTGCTCTCTCTAAGTAAAATAAAATAAATCTTTTTTTAAAAAAGAATTTTATCAGTAGTTACTAGAAATACCAAGACAACAAAATTTCAGGAAATACCTTCTGATACTATTTAAGAATTATGTGAAGATGGCAGAATGGTACAGGGCAAGAGCATGGGACACTGGAGTCAATTGGATTTGGGTTCTTTAATCCAGGTTTTATCACTTTGCCTCCTGGGATCTAGTCATTACCAGTGATATGTTTGGTGGGTTCCCTATGTCAGGATGAAGAACCTCCCAGAAATAAGAGACTAATGTGAACCTTATAAGAGATTATTCCTATCACAAAGTAAATATATTGGCACAATTGTACATGTTTTGTTATTACTCCCAAAGCACTCAATTCTTTGGAGTAAATCACAGCCTAATCTACCAGATTCAGCTAAAATTGTATTTCTGACCATAACAATACTATACCTGCCACTGCTATCAACAGCATCAGCTATTAGTCTCAGATATATTAACATTATAATAAATCTTCGAAGTAAATATTAGCACCCCCATTTTATAGATAAGGGAAGGCTCAGAAAAGTAAGCAACTTGCTCAGTGTCACACAACTCATAAATGGTAAAGCTGGGACCTGCACTCAGGTCTGTTTGAATACACTGTGCCAGAGATGTGAGAATAGTGCTGTTTTACTAAAACTATGGCTTCGTGATGTGTTCATCTATGGAAGAAGAGGGAGTAGAATGATAGCTGGTGGAAGGGTGTTCCAGAAAGAGGGAAAGTATACGTGGAGGAGAGAGGGTAGGAGAGAACACTGAGTGCTCTGGGAACGTGTAGTCTAATATTACTTGGGCCTACAGTGCAAAGGGTTATGGGAAATGTGGGATATGAAGCTGGATAGATAGGCAAGGGCCAAACCAGAAAGGCCTTAGAGAGTTCAGAATTTATTTTATAGAATAAATTTTTTATGGAAGCTTAAATTACCAAGGAAGTAATTGAGAAGTTCTGCAAACATTTGATTAGATTTCCACTTAAAAAAAAAAAAAACCTATTTTTACAATAAAACATACGGCCAAATATATCACATATCAAACTCAGATATATCAGAGACCACCAACTACATTAACTCATGTTGCCAAGTTAGCTTCTCCTGCCATGTTTATGCAGATATTTGAAAATCATAGCTCTCTATCATGACTCTTAAACTAGTAATATTTCTAAAACTGTGTTGGCCGTAAGTTTCTGAGACCTCTCTATTGTTTGACAGTTTTATTTTTTAAGTCTATTCCTTTAGTGGTTACCTTGATAATTTTGGGGGGAACTTTTTTATTATGGAAAATTTCAAACATATATAAAAGTAGATAAAGAAGTTATGAACAGTTATGGAAATATCTATATCTATCATCCAGCTTTTAACAATTGTCAAGCTATAGCCAATCTTGTTTCATTTACATACTTAAATATTACATACTTAAATGGTTTTTTAATGCTGTATAGCAAATCATCACAAATTTAGTGACTTAAAACGACATCCATCTTTCAGCCAACAGTCTTGTAAATCAGAAGTCCAGAAATGGTATGGCTGAGTTCTCTGATAAGAGTCTTACGAGGCTAAAATCAAAGTATGAGGTAGGTGTGTTCCTCTCCGAAGCTTCGGGAAAGAATCCATCTCCAAGCTCATTCAGGTTACGGACTGAATTTGGTTCCACGGTTTTAGGACTAAAGTTCCCCATCTCCTTGCTACTATTAGCCAGGAAGCTCTCTGAGCTCTTAGAAGCAACCAACGTTCTTGGCCACATAGTCTCCTCCATCATCAAAGTCAGCAAAAGAGAATTTCCCTCACATTGAGTCCTTCTCACACTTTGAATATCTTTCACCAGGAAAAAAACTAACCCCTTTTAAGGGCTCATCTGATCAGGTCAGTCTCATCCAGGATAATCTCTCTTTCTTAAAGGCAACTGATTTGGGACCTTAACCACATCTGTAAAGGCTTTTCACAGGAGCATCTATATTGTATTTGACTGAATAACTGGGAAAAGTTATGTGTACACCAAGTGGGACTCTTAGAGATGATCTTGGATTTCTTACCATGTTTGCTTTTGGTGCTGAATTAACATACCATTGCCTAATCCAAGATCATGAAGGTTTACTGTTTTCTTCCGAGAGGTTCATAGTTTTAACTCTTACATTTAGCTTTGTAGTCTATTTTGAGTTAATTTTTGTGTGGGTATGATGTAAAGGCCTTTAAAAAACAAATCCCAGAAACCATATCACTCATCTATAAATATTTCACTATATATCTCTAAAAGATAAGAATTCTTTTTAAATATTGTTCATTATTTTACTTCATAGTTAAATTGCAAGATAAGAACTCTTTTTATTTTTATTTATTTATTTTTTAAAGATTTTATTTATTTATTTGACAGACACACAGTGAGAGAGGGAACACAAGCAGGGGGAGTGGGAGAGGGAGAAGCAGGCTCCCCGCTGAGCAAGGAGCCAGACATGGGGCTCTATCCCAGGACCCTGGGATGATGACCTGAGCGGAAGGCAGACGCTTAATGACTGAGCCACCCAGGCGCCCCAAAGAACTCTTTTTAAACCTAAACGCCACGTGTGGTTCAGGAAATTTAACAATTTTTTATATATCCAGTACATATCCACAGTTCCAATTATTTCACAAATGTTACAAATGTGTTTGAATCAGTGTCCAGTAAAGGTCACACATTATAATTGGTTAATAATTCCTTTAAATTAAAAAAGATCATCTTTTTCTTTCAATTTATTGAAGAATACTCTGAATATTTGACATGGATTCTTTATTCTTAAAAAATATCTTTGTTATTATCCAAAATTTTTAATTCCCATCCAAATTTTTTGGATATGATATAGAGCGAGCTAGAAAATAAACTGGATGACTTCATCCAAAAAAGTTATTTTGGGGGCATGTGAGTAGCTCAGTCGGTTAAGCCTCTGCCTTCAGCTCAGGTCATGATCTCAGGGTCCTGGGGTCCAGCCCCACATCAGGCTCCCTGCTCAGTGGGAAGTTTGCTTTGCCTTCTCCCTCTGCCCCTTCCCCTTGCTCCTGCTCCCTCTTTCAAATAAATAAAATCTTTAAAAATAAATAAACAAATAAAAGAGTTTAGTGAAAGAAGTAGGCTAATGGTAAACACCGTTACCCAGAAATACATTCTGACTTATAAACTGATGACTCAAGAAGTTATACATAGGGCATACATTGGTACTAATATATTTTATTTTATTTTATTTTATTTTTTGATAGTACATGTGTTTTTGAAAGGACTTGCTAATTTAGCTTCCCAACAGTGCCCCAGCATACTTACTGTGGAGACAGTTTTCAGTTAGTAGTTTAGGATCTACCAGACTGACCATGGAAGAGGGGGCCATGTGATGGTGGTCTGTTGTGTCCAAATGTAACTAAGGGGAATGTGGGTCCTGGTTTTCCTTTCTCCTTCTGTACTGCAAGGAGCAGAGACTGCTTCTCATCATACTCACATAGCCAAATTTCTTTTCTTTTTTAAAAATTGGGTGTATAGCTTATATACAGTAAAATTCACCCTTTTAGTGTACAGTTCAGTGAATTTTGACAACCTTATCAGGATATAGAACAATTCCATATTCCAAAAATTTCATTTGTGTTCACTGTCTAAAACACATTCTTAACAAAATCTCAACCCTTCTGATATTCTTTGTTTTTAAATCCATGTCAATTTGGCAGAATCATTACTGTTTTAACATTTAATACTTTAAATATATGATCCTAAAGTAACCTATATACTGCATTTGAAAATTGGCCCAATTTCTTAATCATTGTAAATTATAAATATAGAAAGGGGATAATTTTTAAAGTTTAAACTTTATTCTAAAATAAATTATTGATAAAGGGAAGATTTAAATATAAACAATGAAACCATAAAAGCACAATAAAACACTATAGAGATGAACACTTTCAAAAACCTTGTAGTGATATAGAAAAGGCTTTTATACATGAAAACCCAGAAGCCCTACAGAATAACTCTGTTAAACCCAACTTGATACATATTAGCATTTCTTTATGGCAAAACCCCCCAACACAACATTTATAACCAACAGAAGGCTTATATCCATAATATATAAGAATTTTAAAAGTGGTTTTTTTTTTTTTTTAATAAGTGATGTCTATGCCTAATGTGGGGCTCAAACTCATGATCCTGAGATCAAGAGTCACATGATCTACAGACTGAGCCAGCCAGGTACTCCAGGAGTATATAAAGAATTTTTACAAATTTATAAAAGATACAACCCAATAGAAAAAGTACAGGAGACTTAAGCAGGTACTTCACAAAATAGTGTAACCAAATGAGCAATGACAAGAGTAACAAGAAATGATGACAGGGTTTTCAGCTTCATCAGCCATCAGGGAAATGCAAATGAAAGCCATCACTAAATACCATGACACACTTACCAGAAAAGGCCAAGTTAATAAGACTGACGATGCCAAATACTGACAAAGAATGTGGAGCAACCAAAATCGCAGTAACAACTCAGATTCAGTATACAACTGAAGCGAGCTTAAATTGATACAACTATTTGGAAGACACTGTAACAATTATCTACCAAAGTAGAATATGCACATAACCCTTTGACCCAATCATTAGGTCTATCACAATCAGAAATGTGTTGGTAAGTCCAAGAATATTCCTAGCAGCACTATTCATAAGAGAGCACAGCTGGAAGCAACACAGATGTCCATCAACAGTAGAATGGCGAGATAAAGTAAACGGTAGTGTATTCATTCAGCGGACTATTATACAACCAGCATAAGTCAACAAAGTGCCGCTATATGCAACAACATGAGCCAATCTCACCAATTTAAGATTGAACAAGAGAAGCAAACTAGGGGCACCTGGGTGGCTCAGTCGTTAAGCATCTGCCTTTGGTTCAGGTCATGATCCCAGCGTCCTGGGATCGAACCCCGCATTGGGCTCCCTGCTCAGTGGGAAGCCTGCTTTCCCTCTCCCACTCCCCCTGCTTGTGTTCCCTCGTTGCTATGTTTGTCTCTGTCAAATAAATAAAATCTTTAAAAAAAAAAAAAAAAGAAAGAAAGAAACTAAATTTAAGAATGGATATTGCCGGGGCGCCTGGGTGGCTCAGTAGGTTAAAGCCACTGCCTTCAGCTCAGGTCATGATCCCAGGATTCTGGGATCGAGCCCCGCATCTGGCTCTCTGCTTAGCAGGGAGCCTGCTTCCTCCTTTCTCTCTCTGCCTGCCTCTCTGCCTACTTGTGATCTCTGTCTGTCAAATGAATAAATAAAATCTTAAAAAAAAAAAAAGAATGCAAATTGCCTGCAGTCAACACTCCAAAAGAGTGTGAAAAGTCAGGATAGTGGTTCCTTCTGGGTGGGAGAGGGTGTAGACCTAGCAAGAAGAAACAAAAGAGGCTCTGGAATGCTGGGAGCGCCTTGCACCCCATGATGTACACTCAGGAGTTGTGCGTGTTTGGGTAGGTATATTATGCTTATGCTTCAGTAGAAATTTCTGGACACTGTACAAAAAGAAGCTGTTTATCAAACTTTATGTGTTTTAGATTTTTTTCCCTCAATGTACTCATGTTCCGCCCTGAGAAGAGATCAGTTACATTTAAAGCATCATCAAAACCGTTCCTCTGCAACCATAGCTTACCTAATTTCCCCTGTTCTTTCTCCTTCTCCTGTAGCTCATCAGTGAGCCTTTGGATCTCTTTCTGGGCCATCCCTAACTTCTCCACTGCTGCTTCTCCATTTCTCTCCAGGCAGTTTTGTGAAGTTTTATCTTTTTCCAGGTCTTCATTACGGGACTGAAATAAAAGTGTTGTTAGTAATAAAACAAAAATTAAATGTACTCTTATAACACTGCACTATTTCCCACAAGCATTTGAAAGCTAACAAAGAAAAACAGCAAACAATATTTCATTTGTATGTATTTCTTTTATTAAGTGAAACCATGTAAAATTGGTGACGTTTGATTTTTTTACCTATGAACATACAACTTCTTATAGCTCAACCTAATATATCTAAGAGTTTATGGTTATGTGATTATAAAAAATAGAAATTTTATCATAAAAGTATCATCTGGTGAAAAAGAGAAAAAAAACTCTTCATGTGTATGGCCCATTAAATACAGTTTACAAAATGTTTTCACATGGAATATTTCATTTAATGTCAGGGTATGCACACACTCAAATCATGTTTACAGCTCCTTTTCTGCAATTATTTTCAAAGCATTTTAAAAGTTAAGAAATTCAGTCTCAATTATATCTTGCTTTTGATCCCCCAAATATGTATTAATTTATATAATTATCATACAAATATTTCTAAAAGATAAGAAGACAACCAAAATACCATCTGCATAACAAAACCACTTCTAGCACACCAGTATATATCCTTGCAGTATTTTTTATTTGTATACATTTTCACATAGTCATAATCCCAATCTCGGTACTTCTCTTTTTCATTTAACATTATATGAGAAACATTCCCACAAAAATTGTACAGATTTTGTAATGATAATTTTTAAAGGTTATTAATGTTCTGTAGTGGGTGTCACATGTCACATTTATATAATCATTTAAACATTTGGTAGTTTCCAATTTTTGCTATTTAAAATAATACTATGATATACAGTTTTATCCTTATACATTTATCTTGGGTTACTTCCTGTGGTTAAATTCCTAGCATATACTTTATTTGTTGGATTTAGCACTTAATAACATTTCCCCAGAGCAAAATATTTAATTCCATGAAGAGAATTGGTTATACTTAAAACAATGTGCTATATATATTAAAGGACTATCCAAAATAAAGGACTCCAAACATATTTGGGAAGGATTATCCCAAAGTGATTTTTCAAAGGATGTAACACACACTGATTTTAAATTTTTATACATTCAAAAAAATCAGCTATTTATTTTTTCTTCCCAAATCTTTGTGATTTATTTTTACATTTATGTACAATTCTATGATCTTCACAGCATGGATTTATATTTTAATATATTCAAACAAAATACTTGTTAAAAGCTAATGTGTTAGAGGGGAGTCGGGAGAGGGTGGTGGGGTTATGGACTTTGGGGAGGGTATGTGCAATGGTGAGTGCCGTGAAATGTGTAAACCTGGCGATTCACAAACCTGTACCCAGGGGCTAATAATACATTATATGTTTATATTAAAAAAAAAAAAAGCTAATGTGTAATTAGCTGCTATTACTAATCAAAGGATTCTTTTTTTTCTTTTCTTTTCTTTTTTTTTTTACCTCACTCAGAGTTTTTCCAGACTGCCGCACAGGTACCTGATATTTCTCATGTTCTCTTTGCAGGAGCTGATGAATTTGCTCAAATTTCTCCTAAATAAATAATGAGATAAATGAAACTTACATCAGTCAGTCTTCATAAATGTCATTTAAATTTTTTTAAAAAAAGCAAAAAAAAAACCGAGCACAGTCCAATCCACTTTATGAGCTTAGGCAATGCATTTTCATTGAGACAATATCACACCCAAGGGAATGAAAATTGGTTCCTATGGGGACAAAAAAATCTTACTCTTTTTATGTACAAAGCATGATATGCCTATAGTACACAGAACTCTACAGTAATGTTAAAATTTCATGGGGGAGTGATTGGGGGGGAAAAAAGTGTCATTATAGAGGCAATAATGAAAAATGATTGGCTAACACTGGCTAGCCAAACCTTGAGATTAAAACCCAACAGGGGCACCTGGGTGGCTCAGTGGGTTAAAGCCTCTGCCTTTGGCTCAGGTCATGGTCCCAGGGTCCTGGGATCGAGCCCTGCATTGGGCTCTCTGCTCCGCAGGGAGTCTGCTTCCCCCTCTCTTTGCCTGCCTCTTTGCCTACTTGTGATCTCTGTCTGTCAAATAAATAAAAAAATCTTTAAAAAAAAAAAACAAACCCAACAAAGATAACAGGGGAATGAAAAATCACAGGGCAATCTTCTTATTCATAAATGTAGATTAAAAATCATAAAATTTTATCAAAAATAATCTTATAATATCTAGAAAGGATAACATATCATGAACAAGTTGGATTTGTCCCAGCAATGCAACAACAGGTTTAACATTAGAAAAATAAATCAATGAAATTCTCTCATTTACAGATTCAAGTTCTAAATTATTTCATAATCAATGGCTACAAAAAAACAGTTTATAATATTCACTACTGGTTCCTAATAAAAGCTCTTAGCAAACTAGGAATAAGAGGGTAAATAATAAATAATAAATAAACACTACCATTTGAAACAAAACCTTCAGCAAACATCATACATAATAGTGAATCACTAAATGTTTTCTCCAATATTAATAACAAAATGATAAAGCTAGATAATACTAATAATAATACCAACTTCAAGATAACAGTAAAGAGCCTAGCCAATATAAGGCAAGAAAAAGAACTAAAAGGGGGGCAGCTAGGGGGCTCAGTGGGTTAAGCCTCTGCCTTGGGCTCGGGTCATGGTCCCAGGGTCCTGGGATTGAGCCCCACATCAGGCTCTCTGCTCCTCGGGGAGCCTGCTTCCTCCTCTCCCTCTGCCTACTTGTGAGCTCTGTCAAATAAATAAAACCTTTAAAAAAAAAAAAAGAACTAAAAGGAATAAGGACTGAAAAGGAAGAAACAAAAGTATCATTATTCTCAGATAATATCATTGTATAGGTAGAAAATATTTTAAATCATCAAAAAAATTATTAGAATGAATAAGAGGGATGCCTGTTTGGCTCAGTCAGTAGAACACATGACTCTTGATCTCAGGGTTGTGAGTTTAAGCCCCACATTCGGTGTGGAGCCTACTTAAAAAAATAAATAAATAAAAATAAAGAGCAAAAATAAATTTAAAATATTTATTATTTATTTATTTTATAAATAAATATGTAAAATGAATAGGAAGTTTTAGCAACAATGTTAAGTGTTGGTCAGTATATAAAATAATTATACTTTTAAATACCAGCGATAGAAAATTAAATCCTTTTTAAAAAGATAGCTTAATAGCATCCAAAAATATGAAATACCTAGGAATATATGTTAACAACAAGTGTAAGATTTTGCGGGGAAAATCATAAAACTTTACTTATATACATGAAAAAATACATGGATATTCTATGATCACAGATCACATCAATATTTTAAGACAGCAAATTCCTCTTTGTTTTTTTTAAGATTTTATTTGTTTATTTGACGGAAAGAGAGAGCTCACAAGTAGGCAGAGAGGCACACAGAGGGCGGTGGGGGGAAGCAGGCTCCCCGCTGAGCAGAGAGCCCGGTGCGGGCTCGATCCCAGGATGCTGAGATCATGACCCAAGCTGAAGGTGACCCAAACCGAAGGCAGAGAGGCCCAACACACTGAACCACCCAGTGTCCCTCCTCTTTTTTTTTTTTTTAAGATTTTATTTATTTATTTGTCAGAGAGAGACAGCCCAAGCAGAGGGAACAGCAGGCAGAGGGAGAAGCAGGCTGCCCACTGAGCAAAGAGCCCCATTTGAGACTCGATCCCAGGACCCTGGGATCATGACCCGAGCCAAAGGCAGACGCCCAACCAACTTAGCCACCTAGGAGTCCTGATAGTAAATTCCTCTTAAACTGATTCAATACAACCAAAAACCAAAATCCCAGATTTTGTAATAACATGAACCAGAATGTTACTCTTTCCTCTTAAAATTATTTAGTGTGACTCTCCAGACATTCTATAACAAAGTCCATCAAATGTTTTTATGCCTTAGGGCACCTGGCTGCCTCAGTAGGTTTGTAGTCAGCAATTCTTGGATCTTGGCGTTGTAGGTTCAAGCTCCATGCTGGGTTGAGAGATTACTGAAAAATAAAATCTTTAAAAAAAAAAAAAAAAGTATTTATGCCCCTAGTATGGTTCAGGAACATTGCTGGGTGCTGAGTCCAAACTTTAGCTTAGCATATGAATCTCACCATGATGTGGTTCCTGAAAATATCTCCAGCCACATTTCTCAGCATTCACTCACATGAACCAGTCTGTGATATATACTGTTTCCTCTGCCAGGAATGCCTTTCCCAGCTTCTTCATCTAGTTAACACATACTCAGTTTTCAAAATACTACTCAACATCTCCTCTGGAAGACTTTTCAGTCCCCTGACCCATTACATCTGACTCAGACCCTCCTCTGAGTTTCTCGAACCTTCTATGCCTTCCTTTATCAAGGGACTTTACACACTGAACTATAATCACTGGCTTTTTTCTTTCCTCCATTAGCTTGTAAGCTTGAAGTCCAAATCATGTCTAACTTGACTGTGTTTCTACATTCGCTGGCACAGAGCCTGGCACATGGAAAGTTCTCAATAAACAATAACAATAATGCTAATTAATACTCTGGTTTCTCTTCAGATGGCATAAATTTTTCACCTTTTACTACAGATTTCTGTGGAGGAAAAAAACCCCCACAATAATGCTAATTAATGTGTGAGGTACTATTCGAGAGCCTTATATATGTTATTCCATTTTCATGAGAGCCTTGTGGAGTAGTTGAGTCAATCCCAGATTTTATAGATGAGAAAATCAACGCTCACAAAAGTTAACTTGCTCAAGTTCATACCAAGAAGAAGTGGCAGAGAAGTCCATCCAAAAATGAAACCTATATACTCACGGTGCCTTGGCAAAGTCGGTTGAGTGGACAGCTCTTGGCTTTGGTTCAGGTCAGGACCCTTAGATAGAGCCCCACATCTGGCTCCAGGGCATGCAGGGTGTTTGCTTCAGAATTCTCTCCCTTTCTCTCTGCCCCTCCCCCACTCACTTGGACAAGTACTCTCTCTCTCAAATAAATAAGTAAATCTGAAAAAAAAAAAAATACCAACCTACTGAAGCATTATTAAAACTGGCTTCCTAGGGGCACCTGGGTGGCTCAGTGGGTTAAGCCTCTGCCTTCAGCTCAGGTCATGATCCCAGGGTCTTGGGATCGAGCCCCGCATCGGGCTCTCTGCTCAGCGGGGAGCCTGCCTCCCCTTCTCTCCCTGCCTGCCTCTCTGCCTACTTGTGATCTCTGTCTGTCAAATAAATAAATAAAATATAAAAAAAAACCTGGCGTCCTAATAATTTAATGAATGAATGATTAAAGAAACAAACAAACAAATAAAAAACTGGCCTGACTCTTATTCAATTATCTAGTTAATTTCAGAATACCTGGGCAAGTCCTTTCTGTAGGTTACTGGTCATACATCTTTGTGACTCTGGTTTGGGGCTCCCAGTTTCCAGTTTCCTCAAGAGTGTACTTCTTTCTACCAATAAGTATATAATCTGTTCACTGGGGCTGCTCAGAGCTATTTCAGATAAGCCCTCTTTATACAACATTTCTTCAATCTCTTTTATTCGCACTTCTGTTAGGAAGAAATAACAGAAACAAAGCTGTTAAAAGAAATGCCGGCAAATAATTGGTGTTATAAAATGTTAAATGTGTTCTTAATGAAATAGCAAGTTAATTTTTAAAAAATCAGCTATATTGCTACTACCACTCTTCTGCCCATCCCTTCAGGGCGTCTGCAAACTTTCAGAAAAGAAAATAACCAAAAAAGTAGTGGAAAAGGGTTCTCAAAAGCAGTAAATATTCTTAATGTTATATAACTTTAAATATTGTTGTTTTGTTGAGTGCTTACTATGTGCTAGGTATTATACCAAGCACTTAAGATAAATTTATGTCATCTAATCTGTGCAACAATTCACTGAGGTAGAAAACATGATTATCCTTTAAGAGACAAGGATGCAGGCACCAACAAGCCAACCAATTTGTGTAAGGTTACTTAACTAGCCCTGCCAAAATTCTTGGTGATTTCAATATTTAGGTAGATTATTCTAGTGCCCTGGCTTCTCAGTCTCGCCAACTAACTTCCAAAGATTGAGTCCTCCACCCCATCTCAGTCCCTACTCCACAGTAATTCTCTAGACCTTGCTGTTAGCAGCAACTCCCCAGTCTCAATTTCAAGCATCCCAGTCTCCAATCACCATTTCCTATATACTTCATCTAGTAGCTAGATGTCAACAAGTTTTTGACTATACTGACAACTATAATCCACTAACTTTAAACCCTTTTCAATGTTCCTTATCCCACTCCCATTCCCATTTACTTTCTTAGATTCATCTAAGCAATTCATCATCATAATCACCCCCCCCTTGAAAACATACACATGCCCCTCTTTCCTTCCAGTATTCTTGGCTGACAGAACTCTAGCCCGTAAACCAACCCTTCACCTCTCCTGCCCCTCACTCCAGAAGCAAAGTGTAGCTGGAGAAAACTGCACAGCCAGTGCTGATTGATTTCACCTAAATTCGTGTCTACTCACCTCAAGTGGGTCCTTATTGTCCGCCAATCCTCCCACAGGTCCCTGGAATTCTCTCTCTCATTTTCCAGCGATCTAGACTTTTATTTGATTCCTCTCTCTCCTCCAGTCTCCAACGCCTCCTTCCCCATCCTCACTCTCAGCTGAATACCCCGCTTCTTATTTCACTGAGAAAAAAGCAGCACTCCAGCTTCCACAAACTCTCCTTACCAAATCTGCCAATTCCCACATACTCTTCCCTCTTGTGAGATTTAACAAACTATCCTTGCTCCTAAGGCCTCACTCTCCCCTTGTGTGCTGGATCCCATTCCCACTTCCATTCCCACTTATCTCAAAGACAACATGCTTTCATCATGTCTCTCTGGGACACCACACACTGTTGGTTTTCCTCCTGTCATGCATGCCACTCCTTCTCAGACTTCTTGGCTAATTTCTCACCTTTCCAACCTCTCTAAACATAGAAATGCCCAGGGCCCAGTCTTCTTTTCATTCCCCAGGTAATCGCCTATCGTCCCAAGGCTTTAAGTGTTGGCTATTCGCTGATGACTCTCAGATTCACTGCTCTAGCATGCAGGGCCTTCCAAACATACAACATTGTGTACTTGACATTTCCACTGGGATGTCTAATACACGCATCAAAAGGTACATGTCCAAAAGCAAATTCTTTACTGTCTTTCCCAAATGTCTTCCCATAGCCTCCCTAACCTAAGTAGCTGTAACTCTAATATTCCAACTGCTCAGGCCAGAAAGCATTGGGTCACCAATGATTTCTCCCCTTTTCTCCGACCCAACATTAAATTCATTACAAAATCATATTATTTCTACCTTCAAAAAATACTGTTTAATTATATAAGCATTTCTCAAGTGATTAAGTTTGATGCTCCTAAAATAAACTTGTATTTTGCAAACTGCTCACTAAAAGTAATGAAGCTTATTGAAAACCCAGATTTGTACAGACAATTCTAAATTTCTGTCATTGTGCAATGAGAGTGCTATAAAAACACCGGCAATCCTAGTAATTACACTGGTACACTTAAAGAGATATATCAAATTCCTAAAAAATAAATACTATAGTAAATATAGGACTTTTGTCTTTTTTTAAAAACTCAGACTTGCTATAAAGATGAGCTCAAAGAGCTGAGTCTGCGGAGTTATGGAAAAAAAGCCAAAGGCACAAAGATTAGGGCTACCTTTGCAATAAGCACTTCCCAGGAGAAACATGTGGCTGAACTGAGTCCCAGAGAAGAATGTGGGACAAATGAACTTCATGTATGAACTCCAAGGCTTGCTGATTAGCTCAAACCATTAACATGCTGGGGTATGCTGTATATGAACGTCTGCATTAAAATGACATAATTCAGGGGAGCCTGGGTGGCTCAGTCCTTAAGCATCTGCCTTTGGCCCAGGTCCTGATCCCAGGATCCTGGGATGGAGCCCCATGTTGCGCTCCCTGCTCTGCAGGAGGCCTGCTTCTCCCTCTTTCACTCCCCTTGCTTGTGTTCCCTCTCTCATTGTGTGTGTGTGTGTGTGTGTGTGTGTGTGTGTGTGTGTGTGTCTCTCTCTCTGTCAAATAAATAAATAAATAAATGTTTTTTAAAGAATCTTTAAAAATAAATAAATAAATAAATAACAATAAAATGACATAATTCCCCTATTTACCAATCCTTCATAAACTAATTCATACTGGCAGCAGGACACACAGTATCTTCCATTTCTCACAGAATGGCAGATTAGGGCCTTGAACAACCCTCTTGCTGAGAATAACTAAGAATGCCAGAAGAAATTTGAAAACTCTTAAAAATGCAACCACCATACAGACAAAAATAGAATGCAAACTTTTAAACCAGCAGGAGAAAACTCCGTATATTCAGTGGAAAAGAAAAATCCAAAAAAAAAAAAAAAAAAAAAAGGAAAATCAATGAAACAAGAGTGCAGTACATATGAAATAGGTCCTATGCTTAACTCAACCTTTCCAAATCTGATATTCAAAATAAAGAAAAAACTTCCATCAGCAGAATATTAGAATATTCTAAAGGGGTCCTATCCATGTTCTCCCTTGCAGCTTTGTAGTACTTAATAAATATTTCCTGAGTCTTTAATATGCTAGGCGCTTTACAAGGCAGGTGCTGTGGGAAACACAGAAACCACTGATCTCTGCCCCAGTGGAGCTGACGCAGGTCACTGTGACACTGTGTTAAGTGCTAGAATAGACATTGGAGGAAATAACCATCTTGTCCTCTCTCACACACATTCCTGGCTATTTCAGAACAGTTAGTTTAAAAAGACCAGGCAGAAAATACACTCAAACAAGATAAGTACTTTTCTTGGAGTGGAAGATTATAATTTTCCCCCTTCCTTTTACTTTTATACATTTCCCAAATTTCTATAATTGTCTATAAAAGTAGAAAAAAAAATAAGCTTCACACTGTTAACAAAAGGGAAACATACCCTGTTTCGGTTGGAGCTCTTTAACCACATTTCTAAGCTCTTTGTTTTCCTCTTCACAACTGTGAGAAGATGCTTCTCTTTCCTCTGTTAAGTTATGGACATGGTTTGCATACTTTTCCACCTAAAAAGAAAATAATACATTTTTTCTTACTCTTAGTCCGTGATTCACACAGTAACCCATATCAAATCTATGAAGTGAAAGAATCGTTGAGAGATCACCATACGATCCTGTCTATAATCTAAGAAATAAACAGAAAACTTGGCTTTCCTTAAGTGTGAGACTCTCTCCCTAAACTTCCTTCCAGCCGTTTCATTTTATCAGACACTGTTACCCATAGATATGATGACACAGCTCTACAAATTTCTGGGACAGTCACAATCTCTAATTTTTTCTCCATTAACTTGCCAGGTTTCAAATCAAGTCTCCTTATCTACGGTATAGGCAATATAGCATGATACCCATGAACAGAGAAAAATCTCCACAATAATTGTTTACCGTCCTGTGCTAACAATGATGATTAAGATATCTGAAATGTTAATAGAATATTGTACTAAAATACGGGGTATTTTTAAAAATAGCTTTTGGTTAATATGGTAACTTCATAAAAGGCACTTTTATGTGGCTCATAATAATAGATTAAAAGCTAGCTCAATGCCCCAGGCACTGTATTAAGGACATATCAAATATTTCATTTTCACCACAATCCTCTGAGACTGTTATCCTCCCACTTTATAGGGGAAGAAGCAGGCTGTTAAGAGGCCAAGAGATTTGCATTGTCATGCAGAAAATAAGGAGAGGAGTTAGACTTCACACTCAGCAGGGCCAGACCCAGAGGCTAAACTCTTACCTATCTGCGAAATTGCTTAAAAGTAGACTAACATGGGGTGCCTGGGTGGCTCAGTGGGTTAAGCCTCTGCCTTCTGATCAGGTCATGATCACAGGGTCCTGGGATCGAGCCCCGCATCGGACTCTGCTCAGCAGGGAGCCTGCTTCCCCCTCTCTCTCTCTGCCTACTCTCTGCCTGCTTGTGATCTCTCTCTGTCAAATAAATAAGTTTTTTAAAAAAATCTTAAAAAAAAAAGTGGGCTAACAAAGTAATTGCATTTTGCTGAATTATGTTGAAATCTATTGCACAATCCCTCGTAAAATGAACAAAGAGCTGAATGGTATATAGCAGAAGTAACTTGGCACTGCCACCCAAGTTCATAACTTCCTGCTAATCTTCAGTTTCTTTCTCTTCAAAATGGCAGGAACAATAACACCTATTTCTAATAATTAACAGCTATAATTGATTGAATATCTGCTAGGAGTCAAGCACCTGTGCGTGAAATGTTTTATGGACCTTAACCTGTGTAAACCTCACACATCCCTTTGAAGAGGTAATCATCCCCATCTTACCTATGAGGAATGTCAAGTTCAAAAAAGTTAACTAACTTGCCCAAGGCTACACAGAAAGACAGTACTAAAGGCAATTTTTCACATCCATTTGCCTAATGTTAAAGTTCATGGTTTATTATGTTGTCCTGCTTTTGTTCTAAAGGAGCTGCATTCTTCTTTAAGAGTTTGGAAATCACACTGTCCTCTAAAAGTTAAATTAAAAATCAGTATGTTGCCTATCTGAGCTGAGATGCTGAAACACAACAGAATGATTTCTAAGCAACTTGAGAGAATTTCTTAACTCATTTAAAGAAAGAATATGTAAAAAAAAAAGTAGGTTAACCAGTATTGGAAACACCAAAAGAGTGATAAGAAAGTCAAAAGATGTCATTATCTACTCCTCTAAGGGCTAGCTAGATACCCTGCCATGTTCTAGTCTATAAAAGGTCCAGAAATAAAGGCAGGTATAGAGAGACCTATTGTGGAAATCAGGCCATCTCAGTCAGTGCTATAAAAATTAGAACCAAGATGCCCTTCAACGGACGAATGGATAAGGAAGATGTGGTCCATATACACTATGGAGTATTACGCCTCCATCAGAAAGGATGAATACCCAACTTTTGTAGCAACATGGATGGGACTGGAAGAGATTATGCTGAGTGAAATAAGTCAAGCAGAGAGAGTCAATTATCATATGGTTTCACTTATTTGTGGAGCATAACAAATAGCATGGAGGACAAGGGGAGATGGAAAGGAGAAGGGAGTTGAGGGAAATTGGAAGGGGAGGTGAACCATGAGAGACTATGCACTCTGAAAAACAACCTGAGGGTTTTGAAGGGGCGGGGGGTGGGAGGTTGGGGGAGCCAGGTGGTGGGTATTAGAGAGGGCACGGATTGCATGGAGCACTTGGTGTGGTGCAAAAACAAGGAATACTGTTATGCTGAAAAGAAATTAAAAAAAAATTAGAATATTTGTTCCGCAAGTAAACATCTGTAATGCAGTGTACCTGTAGAGAAAGAACCCATCAGCCACAGGACATGCATGTCTGGTTCTTGTGGCAATTACATTTCTTTTTGCCCACTAGTAAGCTGGTATCTATTTTTTCACAAACATCTCTGTGAGTGTAGTTAATATAAGGTCACCTTTGAGAAACAGATCCACTGACTAATCAGGTTTCTAAGCCCGCAAGTGACAAGCAAGAGAGTCAGCTAAAGGGTGGGTTATTGAAACACGATGAATTTACAGAGATAATGAAAACCACCTTGAGCAGACCCCTTTGGATGTCCAACCAGTCATCTCTTGGTAACATCTTGTACATCTCTACAGGAAATGGATACAGACTACTGCAACATTTTAGGGAAAAAAGGTACATGCAAGTGCTTTTGCAAACTACACAGTAATATTCAGATGTTGGTTTTTAACATGTCGGTTTAATGAAGGACAATGAACAAAACCACAGTATCTTAAAACTTTATGTTATTAGTTCTTACTTCTTCCATTTCTTCCACGTGCTTCGCTGTTAGCTCTTCTAAATTTCTGGTAGCAGTGCTCAGCCTGTCTTCACTGTTCTGAAATAAGCACCAAATAAAATAGAGTGGTTCTTCTGTAGCAACAAGGGATTCAACCCCTTCTTTCTCAAGATGGTGAAATACATATTCTGTCTGAACTTCTCCCTTGGTAAAAGAGATAGTGTATATGTATGTACATACATGCATACAACACACATACACACAACTGAACACACAAGAAAGCTGACATGCATGTATACCTAGAGTTAGACTCTGTACAAAGTAGTTTAGTTCTCCTGTTAATTAACGGGTATCTTATCCAGTTACGATGGACATTTACATGAATATCCAATAATACAAAGAAAATTAAAATTTCAAACAGCTTCATAACATCTTCTAAAATAAGAAATGATGACATTATATATAATGCAAATGTGTATTTTTAAAAAATACAAGCTTTTCTGTATGCCCAGTTCTGAAGTTTGCAATTTAGTAATCAGAGAATTGCCCAAGGGCCCCTTGAAAAGTTATAAATTCCAAAGAAGCTTTTTTTCTCCTCAGTTGAATTTGAGAGATAAAAGGACTCCTCTGGAAACTAGAGAGCTCACTGATTCTGTACTATCAAGGGATTACTGTACTCACTGAATATGGCTTAAAATTTCCGGTGACTTTCAAATCATTCAGTTCTCTTCCAGAACTTCTTGATATAAGCCTGTCATCAATATTATCTTCAGTTCTTTAAGCTACAAAAGAGCTTACTCTATAATGGTAGGTGAAAGATAAATTTCTGATTGAAGTTTTATCTGTGTTTCTCTGTTACTAGAATCTCTAGCTGTGACTAGGACTTGCTGTTATAATCAAACATAGCTTTTTTTTTTTTTTACAAGATTTTGATTATTTATTTGGGAGAGAGAGAGAGCACAAGCAGGGGGAGGAACGAGGGGTGAGGGAGTAAGCAGACTCCTCACTGAGCAGGGAGCACAACTCGGGGCTCGATCCCAGGACTCCAGGATCATGACCTGAGCTGAAGGCAGACACTCAACCGACCGAACCACCCAGGCGCCCCCAGATACAACTTTTAATGAAGTTAATCTGACCAAATTGTAGTGATCTGCATAATTATTACTATACTGCAGATAGTCCACACAAACTATACTGTTTTGCTTTCTTCATTATTTGTATTATTTTTCTCCTTTCTTGCTAAGTTTTTCAATGTTATTTTCACATCAGCAGTTTAAGTGGACAATACATAGAATTCTAATTATCATCTGAATCTCACGCTGAAAGAAAAAAGGATTCAGGTCTGAATCTTAGTACCCCATGTGTTCGCCTCATGACTTAGAGCTAAAATTATTCTTGTGCTCCTCACCTCACTTCCATCATCTGGTCCCCACTCGTATTTCCCTTCTCCCTTTTTAAGGCTGAATACGATTCCAGTGTGTGGATGGGTGCATGTGTGAGCGTGTGTGTGTGTGTGTGTGTGTGTATCATATTTTGTTTATTCATTCATTGGTTCATGGACTGTTGAGCTATTTCTACTTTTCAGCTGGTGTGAATGAACACTGTTGTGAACACGGGTTACAGGTATCTGTTTAAGCCCCTGCTTTCAGTTGTTTGGGGTATATGCCTAAACTAGATTGCTGTCTGTTGCTGTCCTATAACTCTGTTTAACAAATCTTTGAGGAGCTGCCCTACTGTTTTCCAAACCAGCTGCACCATTTTATGTTCCCACCACACAACACTAGGGTTCCATTGTCATATCTTTGCCAATACTTGTTATATTTGTTTTATACATATAACAAAGCCATACTGATGGGGGTGAAGTGATTGTTCTCTTAAACTGTGCTTATTCTACAATGACAGTGAGACCTCAGTCCCTCCACCATTACATCTCTCAAACTACCAGTTACTTTTGGCTTTTCCCCTCAAGCCTGGAGCCAACAGCTGATCACTGCAATCTGTCATCAATATCACCAGTTATCTTGCCCCTCGAACCACCTTCCCTGAAAATCTCAGCCCTGGAGAAGTTTGACCATTTAACTGTTCTTTATCTATTTTAATTTGCTGAGGCCTGGTAGAGAAAAATAAAACAAGCGAGCAGACTGGAGGCACTACAAATTCATGGTCTGCAACCTGAGCCAAACTTCTGTCTTGCTAGATCAGTCCATGCATTCTTTGCCAGATTCTGCTACCATTTCACTCGGCAACTACTCAGAACTTCCATCTCTCCCATCAATCTCCAACCACTCTCACCTCTCCCCTCTTTTCAGATGACCTTGTCTCCCACAGCACTAGTAAAACCAAAGTCATCATAAAACTCTCTCAGCTTCTATACTGAGGTATTAGCCTTTATCCTGAGAGACCTTGTTCTCTTTCTCTGCTCAGTGGAGGAGACTTCCATCCTCCTGATCAAAGCAAGTCTCTTCACCTGTGTTCGAGATCCCATCCCATACTAGTTCTTCAAGGAAGTTTTTTCTTTTCTTTATACTCATCATCTCCCTCACTACTGATCTCTTGCCCTTCACTCAAGATGCTTCTGGCCTTGGGCTGCCTGCATGGCTCAGTCGGACTCCTGATTTCGGCTTAGGTCATGATCTCAGGGTCGTGAGATCGAGCCCTGAGTCGGGCTCCACGCTGGATGTAGAGCCTAATTAAGATTCTCTCTCCCAGGGCGCCTGGGTGGCTCAGTGGGTTAAAGCCTCTGCCTTCAGCTCGGGTCATCCCAGGGTCCTGGGATCAAGCCCCATGTTGGCCTCTCTGCTCAGTGGGGAGCCTGTCTCTCTCTGCCTCTCTACCTACTTGTGATCTCTGTCTGTCAAATAAATAAATAAAATCTTTAAAAAAAAAATTCTCTCTCCCTCTCTCTCTGTCCCTCCCCACACAGGCTCTCACCCTTTCTCTCTCAAAAATAAGGGATGTTTTTGGTCTTAAAAATAAAGATACAAAAATAACCCTCCTTTGACCCCACTACATTTCTCTGAAGCTACTGTCCTCCTTCCAAATTGTCTTCCCCTCCCCTCCTCAACTGCATTTTGACTTCTGTTCATACCACTATACTCAAAATATCAGTTACCAATAACTCCCAAAATGCCAATCAAACTGGACATGGTTCTGTCATTTTTATATATGATCTCTCTGCACTACTCTCTTGAAAATGTTTCCTTTCTTTGTTCTGGGTCATCACTTTCTCCTGTTTTTACTCTTACCTCTTTGGCCTTTTCTTCTCTCCGTTCTTCCTGGGCTCCTCTTCTTCCACAGCCCCTTGAGATGCTGCCATTCCTAAGAATCCTGACTTTGGCTCTCTGCCTTTCTCATCATCATGGTGATTAACAGCATGGATATAGGAGTCTGACATACCTTGGTTCAAACCCTGGCTCTGCCACTTTATAGCTTTGTGACTAAGCAAGTCACCTAACTTCTTTAAGCTTTTATCTACCCCCAAATAAAATGGATTAATAACAATGCCTACCTCATGGGGTTGTTAGGGTTAAATAATAATCCATCTTTGCTAAGCCCCAGCTCTATCTAGAAAAAAAAAAAAAATGGGAAGAAACAGAAACACACTGAAATTAGAACAAACACAAGTGCTAGTGGAAAAGACTGCCAGTTGTCCCCCAATATTTATTCTTCCCTTTTCCCACAGCATAAGATAACTGGTTTCTTGAATGATCATACAGCCGCCTGCCTTACTGGAAGAAACAGCCATGTGGCCTAAGTTCTGACCAATGGGGTTGTAAATGGAATTGTGCGCCACCTCTAGGAAGTGCCCTGAATGGAATGGGATCACTCTTCCTCACTACTTCCTCCATTCTACTGGCTGGAATACACATAAGATTGCTGAAGCTTGAGCAGCCATCCTGGATACATGGGGTGGAAGCAAACTGCCACAGATAATATACTATCATGAGAGAAGCAATCTTTGAGTCTCTGACGATTTCCCCACTGATCAGGGAGTCTGCTTCTTCCTCTCCCTCTCCCTCTGCCTCTCCCCCTGACTCGTGCTCACTCTCTCTCTCTCAAATAAAATCTTTTTTAAAAATCCATTATTTGAATTATAAATGCTCTAACATCTAAACTGCACGTAAAATAACCCACATAACAAAGCACACACACAAACTATTCTCTCCAGACTAGATACTGAATAAATGCTCATTAACTATCTTAAAAAGTTTTTGCCCCCCCCACCCCAACTTCCAGATGTAAAGAATGAGTTGGTAAAGTTGTCAAAACAAACTAAGACAGAGACAAAGAATTTTAAATGGAAAGAAGGTAAGGAGAATGGGCGCAGAGTCATTGTTTCTTGTTCTTATTTCCCTTACAGGTGCCCTCAAAGTACAATGAAGGAGCCAGGACCATATCTCGTGCTACAGCACATCTTTTGGCTCTGAGGAAAGGATAAGTTTTGGATCTCATGGTCTTACAGTGACATTAAGGAACAAAAGTAAATAGCATGGCCACAAAAACTGATATACCCAGACAGGCTATTCACCTTAACCGTCTTTCTCCCTTCTACACAAATATAATTTTAAAATTACAGGCATCTTAAATATGATACGTTATACACATTTTTTTCCTTCTCAATTCCCAAGTAAAATGAGGAGAAAAATACGTTTCAAAAAACTGAAAGCAATGTAGCAATGTTTAAATGCTTAAAATATAAAATAAAGAGGAAAAGAAAGGCAAAAATGTACACTAGCATTACAGCTATGTAAAAATGTACACTCGTGAGCAAGGACTGACCCAGAACAGAAAATGAACTTGATATGTTGGGATAGGGTTTCTTAACCTTAGTGTCACTGACATTTGGGCTGGATCATTCTTGTTGTTGGGAGATGTTCTGTGCATAGGAGGATGTACTCTGCCAAGTGGATGCCAATAACATATCCCCAGCTGTGACAACCGGAAGTATCTCCATCCTTTGCCAAATGTCTCATGGGGAACAAGATCGCCCCCTGAGTTTAGAGCCACTGTCCTAGGGTGAGAGGAAAGTTCTTAAAAAGTTACTTTTCAGTGCTGCCCTAATGATGTTTATTCAGTAAATACATACTGGAAGGGGAAAGGTAAGATCCTTAAAATACAGCACCTAACACTGTGCTTTTCAAAAGTTAGAATTTATCCATTAAATGTGAAAAATGGATAAAGTTTCAGAACTTTTTCTCTTCTTTTTTAAAGAATTTATTTATTTATTTATTTATTTATTTAGAGTGTGAGCATTGGGAGGAGCAGAGGGAAAAGGAGAGAGAGAATCTCAAGCAGATACCACACTGATCTTGGAGCTTCATCTCAACACCATGAGATCATGACCTCAGCCAAAAAGAGTCAGACGCCCAACTGACTGTGCCACCCAGGTATCCCTAGAACTTTTTTTTCTTCTCCAGTCCATTATAGAAGAGAAAGCTGAAGACCCCAAAGTACCTGCTAAAAGTACATGTCTTCAAAATAAGTTTACACTTAAACCTGAATACTGAAAAAGAAATAGTGAGACTCAACGAGAAACACAAACCTTAAGACAAATTAAAGTTTTTCAACTAAAAGAAAACTGCACTGGCTCTAAATGGATCTCATTCTATTTTTTTAAGGTTCTATGTTCCAGTCTTTTTAGGACTATTAAGCCTGCTCCCTTGCCAAAAATATTTATTTTCAATCACTCCTCCTCAATGTTTCTGTTTCTTGGCTCAGGTCATAAAGAATGTTTTCCCATTAAGAAACTGACATGAAGGGGCACCTGGGTGGCTCAGTGGGTTGGGCAGACGACTCTTGATTTCCTCTCAGGTCTTGATCTCATGGTCCTGGGGGATCCCCATCCTCCAACTCAGTGAGTGTCATTGTTTCTCCCACTCCCTCTGCCCCCTCCCCCATACATATGTGTACTCTCTCTAAAATGAATAAATAAATCTTAAAAAGAAAAAAAAAAAAGAAAAGAAACTGACATGAAGAGAAGGCACAAGAACTATTTTAAGCATCTCCTCTCTAGAAAATTTGATGGTATCAAGGCACTGCATTCATATGGGCTTAAAGTTGAAATCCGGTTGCATGATCATTCTGAATGATCTTTTCACATGCATAAATACATCATGTAAATCTAACAGAGTATTCACTTAGAGCAAGAAACAACCTTTCTTTATATAAGCCTGGGATGGGCCTAAAAACGCATTTTGATTTTTTCCCCCTCAGTTTCAAAACACGCTACGCTTGTAGGAATTCACTGTTTGTATTTACCAAAGTGCGCTTCTCCATGTTAGTTAGTTTAACCAAGACAGGAAGCTGGCCACAGTGCACAGAAACAAAGAAAATCTTCCAAAGGATTCCAGAGCTGAAGAATGTGGAATACTTAGCTACCCAAAGCATTGTAGCAGGAAATCAGAGGGAGGTGGTCTACAGATGGCAGAGGTGGTGGAGACGAATGGACATTCAGTGATGTGCAGCGTGGACAAGAAAGGGTGAAAATGGCTGTGGAATGAGCAGGATGAGAAAACTGGTGCTGAGGGTGATGAGAGAAGCGGATGAGATCATAGCTCGAAAGGCAGAAGGTAACTGACTTGATGACATCCGATGCTGAGGATACAAAAGGCCTCTCCAGAGCTTCATCAGCATTTAAGGTTCTGCATGATGAACATAGGGCGAACAAGCAGAAAACGGCAGTTCTTTGTTCACAAGCCTAAGACCAGGGGAAGCCGTAGCTTGGAGGACTCGGCACGGGCCAGGCCCACCAGGCGCAGTGGTCTGTGCAGGGCTGAGTCTTTGCCAGGGCAGTGAGAAAAGGGGCGCCCACTTAACCGACGGGTTCCAAGCCCTCTCTAAATAGGGCAGACGGCCTAATTCTAAAGGCCTGTGACGGTTGGGTCCCTTCTTCAAGCAGAATCACTCCAGCCCGCCACAATAAAGGCAGAGCCAGCAGAGGTTCTTCTCCGGTTTCGGGTCACACTAGCGAGAGAAGTGGGAAAGACCTGGAATGCAGAAAAAGAACGCAGAGAAGGCGCTTTCCTCCTCGGGGCTGAGGCAGAACCGCGGGAACCTCAGGAACCAGGCCGGAAACTTTCGTAGAGTGCCGCGAGGGTCCTGGCTCACTGGGCTCCACAGCTGCTCAGCGGCCAGCGGCAGGTGCTTACCCAGGCCCGGGCGTCATAGCAACCGCGATTGCCGCAGAGACTCCGAGGCGTCCTTCCGGCGGGAACCATAGAAACGACGCGCACCATTGGCTCAGGGGATGCTCTTCCTGTGGAAACAGTGCACACCATTGGCCGTCGGGTCTGGGGGCGGGGCTTTTAGACAGAAACGAAAGTACGCCTCATTCCATTGGCTTTGCAGTAACCACGGTAACAACATAGGAGCGCTTTTCTTACTTCGAAGTTACGTTTTGTCCCGGGCATTTACAACTCTCAAATAGCTTCCCGCCAGGCCTTAAGTGGAGACCCGGCTTAATAACCTTGGTTCTATTTCTCTAGAAGTAACTTCATTCTTAAAAGGGAGAGGGTTAGGATTGTGAATTTTAAGCCTAGATCTGTCACTACCTGGGGTGCCTAAGACAAATCACATTTTTCGGATCTGGCTTTATTATTATAAAAATGAAGAAATTGGATTTGACTAGAATTGTCCCTAAGACAGAAGCCCTTTAGAAGTCCCAAGCACTGAAAATTCAGTTTAAGTGAACCGGTCCTCCACCTATGTTGTGCAAAATAAAATTTCAAATTGACAACTTAAGAGAGGCTTGGTATATAACATGTTCATTTAAATGCTCTTAATTGCAAGATTCTGGTTAGTTCACCAAAGCTTGATTTGACCCATTTTGGGGGGTCCTTGCTTTGCTGATATCTTAACTAGGTACCCGCATTTCAGTCTTATTCTAGTTCCACACAGGACCCTTTCCAAAACTTTGCCAGTTATCTGGACAGATCTCACCCCTTACTTTATGGAAGTACTTCAATCATTTCCACCTTACAAGTGTGTTTTCTCTGATCTAAAATGCTCACCACTTCCAGTCCACTTAACTCCTACTTACCGTATCAAGTATCACTTCCTCAGGGAAACAATTCTTGGTCCTCCAATTCAGATCAAGTGCTTTCCCATTTGCTCTCATTGACTCGCATTCCTTTTCATTCTTTCTTTCTCTGCACGCTCCTATTTGCTGTTTAAAACGAACAAACAAAAAACCTCCTGGAATTTTAACATGTGTAATACTGTTTAAGTGCTCCAAATGGAAATTAAACTGAATTGGAAAACACTTTAAATAATTCCATGTAGGAAAAAGGTGTTTGTTTAAGCCTAACAATACAGTATAGGAAATGGTTCCCAAAGGAAGTAATAGATGGTAGAAACCAACATCACTTCTAGTTTTCACTTCATTTACCCTCATTGGACATTCAAACATGATGACAGTAATCATCCACATGAAGCTATAGATGTAAGGAAGAAAATCAGTCTTTCGCTTCTTATCCCTTCAGTACCGAAGCCACTGACAGAGCCTGTTGTCTTTGAGATTTTGCTAATTGGACCTTAAGTTAAAATTTTTGTTCCATGGGACTGCTGCTTCCAGAACAGTGCTGATTGCTGCAGTTATTTTCCCTCTGCTTGTAAGTCACATTTCTTGATTTAGTGACATATTTCAATGCCTCTTTGCACCTCTGCTCAAATCTTTTCAACTGCAATTTATTGCACCACTGCCATCACATTGGGTTACTCTTCCCAACTCCATGAAATATCGCTAATTGCATTTTAAATCAAATACGTGAAGTGTATTTCCCGCTTCACCTATTTATTAATGGTAGTTTCTCATCATGCACTCTGGACCATCCTACAGATCATTTAGGGGATTTTTCTGAGCCACATTTCTCGTGCACTCCCAACCCAAAGCCTAGGACAGTAACAGAAGCTTTGAAAACTCAAGAATTCAGGGATCAAGCAAGGCACCATCAGAATACTGCCTTGCTGAGAAAAATTTATGTGCAGGTAAAAAATGTACATGCCAGACACGAGATGATTCATGCTTTATCTTCACTGTTTTACTTAAGCCTCACAAAAAAGGGCACTATTCAGCAGAGAGGCTTATTATCTCTATTTCATAAATGAGTAACTTGAGATTAAGTCATGAGTCTGAGCTTACAAAACTAACAGGTGATAACAGCTAGAAAGGCCCAACTTGGCTGAGATGGCTCCAAAGCCTCTACTCCTTACCATATAGTAAAGCTTCCCTCAGGGCAGAAATCACAAATAGGCCCCTTCCTTGCCCCAAGTAGAAGCCAAGTTTCCACTAAGCACAATTATAAAATATTTTAAAGGTAAACTGTTAACTCAAATACTCAACCTAGGAAAAGGAGCAATAAGTGAATGTATGGGAAGCTCATCATTCTAAAGGCAACCTATCTTAAGGGAAGTGTCCTTCTCTTGTACTCCCCTTCGATGAATTCCCAAAAAACATCATTTCCATCATGTTAGCTTTTGGGCACACGCTTTATTGCACTTTATTTTTCATACACCCATATCCCAGACAGACATATTTATTCATCGTTTTAATCCTCATAATCCTCAGGGCCTACCACATAGCAGGCATCAAGAAATATTTGATCTTTAAGGCATGGCCATTCATACATCCAATAATCCTTCTCATAGTAAGAAGGTTGATATTCAGGCCTCACATGTATACGCTGGGGAATATAATTCCCAATAAGCTCTTTTTCTAAAGGTGACGAACAGCTCGTGTTCATTTTCAAAATCCAGGTGATAATCAGATAAGTGTGTCAGGTGGTTTGGTCATAATTGCTTTGCTTTTGTTTTCATTCTTATTGTGTATGATCTTTAATAGACAAATACCAACCTACCCTCACCTACATACCACTGACTGTTTCTTTCCCTTCATATTTTGTCTTCATGAAAGCAAAGGACTTGTTTTTACCACTTAGAAAACAAGTCCTGATTCACTGAACAATTTTTTTTTTCCCACTGAACAATTTTTGATCCTACAAAGGCTTTTAACTTCAGTTGTCATGTATAAAAGCTGTGTGTCGAGACTGAAGATCACTCACTATCTTCTCTTCTATGTCTATGCCTTTTTCTACTTCTTCCTCTGATAGCAATATCTTGGTCTCAGAGTCTTTCGTTAAAATAACCACAGAGGAGTGTCGTGACTCAAGGCTATTGGCCACCACCACTTGATGTCGATAAACTTCCAAAGCATTCCGTGCACGATCAATTACGATGGAAGGGTCAGTCTCCAACTTAAAGGAAATTATAAATGCTTTGGGAGCCCAGTCTTTAACCAAAGGAGAAAGCATTTTTGGCACCATCTTCATTGTTATCTGTATTGGAAAAAGAAAAGCTTAATAAGCAAACAAAGGTCAGTATCTACCAGGTCAGTCTCATGGGAAACTAAGGAAGCAGGGACTCAGATTTCTGGCGATGCCAAATTTAAGTGGGATTTTTTATTATCAAACTTTTCAGAGCATTTTAAATGCTTAGCTTAGAAGCCTTGGCTCTGTAAGCTAAGGATAATCCTCTGTAATAAAGATACCTAATTCCAAGGCTTCATACAAATTCTGAGACAAATCATGTCTTATGAATTAACCTTGCCCTCCTACCTTCATCACCATTAACAGAGGTCTGAAAAACAGCATTATATTTTCTTAAGTATTCCCCTTATTTTAAACCAAAGACTCAAATAAACAAATCGATTCACACAAATCCATAATGCAAATTAACTTTGGCAGAAGTATAATGCTGGGTTTTTAAATCTCTTAGCCTAAAACATTCCTTGTACCAGTAGAATGGCTACTGGATTCCATTTTAAAACTGTCACTCATAACATATCTTAGCACTGAAGAAAGAGAACTGATTTTATTTTCACTTGATCAAAATTCCTACTATATCATTCTTGATGCCATCTAAGAATGCTGAGTTGGTTTGTGTACTTTCAAGAAAGAACTAAAATATACAGGAGAGGGGCACCTGGGTGGCTCAGTGGGTTAACCACTTCAGCTCCGGTCATGATCTCAGGGTCCTGGGATCCACCCCCTGCCCTCCCACCACTGGGATCTCAGTGGGGAGCCTGCTTCCCCCTCTCTCTCTGCCAGCCTCTCTGCCTACTTGTGATATCTCTGTCAAATAAATAAATAAATAAATAAATCTTAAAAAAAAATACAGGATAAACTAAAGCTCCCAAAATTTTCAAAGTGTGAAATTACTCTGATAATATCAGGATTTCAGAAAGTTAGCAAGCAGTGAGAGGGATTATATTCCCATTCCCCACTTAATTTTTCTGCTTATCATTTTTCACTACCTAACATAGTATGCATTTGACATATTTACGGTCTCTGAAGAGTATATGCAACTAAGGGCACAGTATGTTTAACACTGCTTTATCTCCAGGTCCTACCACAGTACTTGGCATATAGTAGGTACTCAATAAATATATGTTGCAGAAATGAACAAATGAAGTATCCTACAAAGTCAGCAAGTGTCTCACAGGTAGTTTCTCCTATTTAAATTCTGCTTGAACATAAATGATTAAGAATTGTCTCAGGTTCCAGGATGCCAGATCACCTCAAGATCTCAACCACACCACTAGCCACTCCATACCCTTTGCTTAAACTACAGCAATCATCACCTAACCTGCACCCACTTCTAATTCACCTTTCAGACTGATGCCAGAATATTCTTTTCAAACAAAAAGTTTATCTCATTCTCCTACTTGTTTTCCTTAGCTCCACCGGATGAAGTCCAAGCTACTTAAGAAGGAACACAAAATCTACGAAATAAGCTCTCTTCCGTCTGCCCACCCACCTTGGGCGCCTCTCTCCCTGCTCTCTAACCTTATCGAACAACTTCAGTTCACAGCACACGGTTCATTTCCAAATTCCAATTTGTACTCTTTCTGGAATGACCTTCCCTACTTTGTCTGCTAGACTCTCAGAACATCTTTTTATAAAACCCAGTTTATGTCATCTCCTCCAAGAAGCCTTCCTTGACTTCCCCAAGATTCACTCACCCCATGCTCTGACTTCACTTTGTACGTACCTCTACTAGAGCATTTATCACTCTGTACTGTAATTATGTCTGTATCCAGCTCCCTCACTAGATTGTGAGGTTCTTGAGGGAGGGCGGTGTCTTATTCATCTCTGTATCCCTAGGGCCTATCACATATGGAATGCAGAAAGGCCATCTCCAGATCAAGAGGAAATTAACCCAAGACTGATTATAGGGGATCGGATCTCTGGAAGAGAAGCGCCCATCACCTGCAGTGGGCCCCTAGATGACTGGATCTTGTGTTCAGGCATTTCTGAGACAGGAACATAGAAATCTGACACGGCCGCAGCCAGGTAAAACATCGCAGAAGAGCCTGCAGAGAGAAGCACAGGGTGTAATAAATCGGAGTGGGATATGGGATCAGCTCCTTTCAACTCAGGCTCCCCGGCTGTTAGACTGCGGGTAATGAAAAGGTGAGGGCAAAAAAGTGTCTGGGGGGAAAGTGTCTGGGGAAAAAGGCTCTGCCTGCAGGAAACCCTGAACTCCTAAACGCACGCACCCAGCGGATTGAGCGCCTGGGCCGCAGCCTGCAGCAGATGCAAATAGTCCGCCAAAGTGGTGAACTCCACGGCCAGGAAGGTGCCGGCAGCCGCAGCCTCTTGGTAGCTCCGCAGAGCCGCCGCGAAGCCCGGAAGTGCATTCTCCTCGGCCTCCAGGCTCAGCAAGCCCGAAGGGGCTGCGCCGCAGGGCCGCAGCGCCGACAGCCAGGTCTGGGGCGGGAAGCGGTGGGCAAAGGGGAAGGCGGAACGAGCGCGGTGGAGAAACAAGACCCCGTAACCCGCGGCCAGGAAGGCCTCGGCCGAGATAGCGCCGCGCCGACCGCTGCTGAAGTTGTCCAGAAAGCGCACTGGCCGGGCTTCCAGGGGAACTTTGGTGCCGCCGGACGTGATCAACACCACTCGCCGGCCCTGCGCGCCCAGCCTGGCGACGAAGCGACCCATAACCTCGGCAGAGCGCGCAGCATTCGCAGGTTTGGGAAACTCGGCGACCAGGTCCGTTTCCGCCATCAGTCCCCGGGTACGCCCGCACTCGTGCACGCCCCGCTGCCCGCGGTGCCGCGGCCCTGCCCGAATCCCGGGCCCCGCGCAGCCGCACTAAGGAGGGGGCGGAGCTTCCCATACACGCTGTAGGCCGGCGCCGGCTTTCTCTGCTGGGGGGGTTGTGCGCAGTTTCTGCCCCCAGCCTCCCACAGGTGACCTTGAGCTGACTGAAGAGCTGTCGGCTGGGCGGGCGTCTGGAAGGGCCACCTTCCCTCCTGTTCCTTTCCTCCTCGGATAGAGAACTGGCCATTTTTGCCTCTCAGCGGCCGCCGTATCGGCCTTTCAGGACTTAGATTCCACTGGAGTCCGACAGCCCGGCCATTTAACCTGGGGACTTACGGGGAGGAATTTTATGTTTTGGTTTGTTTGTTTGTTGTTGTTTTTAACCCCACATATGCACTCTACATGTCAGTGGAGCCACGCTCCTCCCCCTGCGCTTGAAATCCTGGGAACGAGGCAGCCCGACGGCGGTCACGTGACGCCGGCGTCCAGCGTGTCCTCGCCGGGCAACCGTCCTGGAGACCGACTCTGCTGGCTGCAAGATGGACATCATCTACCCGCTGGCGGTGCCAAAGGGGCGCCGACTCTGCTGCGAGGTGTGCGAAGCCCCGGCCGAGCGGGTGTGCACGGCCTGCACGGTCACTTACTACTGGTAGGCCCTGAAATGTGGCACCTGGGTGCCTTGCTTAAGCCGTAGCACCGGCTCTGCAGGGCAACACTCAAGGCGGTTTCGGGAGAGATTTCTCTGTCTGCTTCTTCTCCCACTGGCGCATTGGTTACCTGAGGTTTTGTTTACCACCTACTGTGCGCTATGCATTGTTCTAGCAGCCGAAGTTACTGGAGGAATACTTGGTGATCAGTACCCCTTAAAGATCTAACATACCGATGCGGAAGATAAGTAAACAAACACACAAAAAGGAAAGATCATTTTAGAGAGTCATAAATGCTGTGAAGACAAAGGAAATGTGTTGGGAGTTTGGACGGATGGCCTTCTTAAGGCTAGATACTGAGTTGAAGATAAAAAGTAGGAACGGCCCGGGATGGAAGTGCTGGGGATAGAGTAAGGCTCTGGAGGGCAGGTTGGTGTGCTTGAGGAATAGCCAAAAGTGCGCAGCCAAGGTGCTGAGAGTGTGGGGAGGTGAGTTCTCATTTATTCAACCTAACATCTCCTGACTTTTGTTTCCAATTAGACCCTACGTGGGACCGGAGATAAACAGCTAAGTGCTGATGTCCAGAAACCTAGTCCAGAGCAGACTACCTTGTTTTTGAAGTCATTATATAGACCCTGTGTGACAAGTACTGTTACTCAGGTTGTGCTGTTTCCAGGGACCTCAGAGGATGGAAGCATGGTGACTGGGGCAGATATCTGGAAAGGTTCTCTGAATAAATAATGTTTGAGATGACTCTTGAAAGGTCAGTAGGAAATTGCTAGGTGAATGAACAACGAAGACAGAAGGGCAGGGTACTCCTGGCCTCCAGGTCTGCTTCAGTAAACGGTGAAAGAACAGTGTGTTCAGAGCTGAAGTAGAGAAAGAAGTAGTGGAAGAAGCAGTCAGTGATTTTCAAACTGCAGACTAGACCCAGGAGCAGGTCAAGAATAAATCAACAAATATTTTAGGGGGAAAAAGTAGAATAAAATAGAAAGTATCACAGTAATCCTACTTGAATTGTTTCTTGAAACTTTCTAGTGTTTTATATGGTGTTTGAAATGATAAAATATTTCTTACTAAAAAGAAAGTTTAAAAACCATTGTGATAGGTAGGAGGAGGAGTTTAAACCAAGAAGACAGAGGTTAGGGCCACATGGTGACATGAGATCAGGAAGTTTGAAATTTATCCTCTGGGAGGTTTTGACGGGCTCTCACTTGTGTTAAGGAAAGATGACAGGTAGCATTGTGGAAGATAAATTCAGGTAGACCCTGAAGGCTGCAAAAATGATAAAGAATTTGTTGCAGTGGTCCCAGTGGAAAGCGAATATACCTCCTCAGATTGAATTAAGTGTCCTCCTCAGTGCTGTCAGGGCACTCTATATATTCCCTATCCTAAAACTTGTGACACAGATTGAAATCAGTCATTTAATAGTCTGTATTCCTCACTAGGTCTGTATATCCCATGAACGGAGGGATGGCATCTGTGTTTTCTTTGCTGTTTCTTCATTGCATTTAGAATACAATTCAGAGGGGCGCCTGGGTGGCTCAGTGGGTTGAGCCGCTGCCTTCGGCTCAGGTCATGATCTCAGAGTCCTGGGATCGAGCCCCGCATCGGGCTCTCTGCTCAGCGGGGAGCCTGCTTCCTCCTCTCTCTCTGCCTGCCTCTCTGCCTGCTTGTGATCTCTCTGTCAAATAAATGAATAAAATCTTAAAAAAAAAAAAAGAATACAATTCAGAGTTTGTAGGAGAAACTACAAAGCTCTGGTCAGCTCTCTACCTGCATGTCCTACCACACTCACCCTCTCTCTTCCTTGATGCAGTTACAGAGGTTTTCTTTAAGTTCTGATTTCCTAAGTCTTTTCCTCCCTCCGTTTCTTTGCCTAGGCTGTCCCCACTGCTGGGAACATCCATTTCAACCCCAGATATTCCTAGAGCCCTCTCATCCTTCAGTTCTCAGAAATGTTATTTCTAAAAAAGAAAAAAAAAAGTTATTTCTTCAGAGAGGTCTTTCCGAAAATACACTTCTCTTATTTTTCTGTCTCACCTTTTCTTCATTTTTCCTGTACTTCTGTATTTTGTGTTTGCTTGTGTAATGTCTGTCTTTTACTGAACCTACTGGGCCACATACCAGGCACTCAGTGATCATTTGTTGAATAAGCAAACTTCTGAATGGATAGTAAACCTATTAACGCAGAGGGATATGGTGGTGGGTGATGGATTGGGTTGGGGACACAGAGTTTGAGGGCCTTCAAGTCACTTGGAAGAGATGGCTAGTGAACAACTTCAGGTACAGCCCTGGCACTCAACGGAGAGATTGGAGTCCTTTGGCTGGTATGACCTTCTACCTCTTTCCCTCTCACCTTCATCCCTACACCCAGAAATAATTCCTTCTTCCTCTCACTCTGTACTCTCGGTTGACTCTTATGTCCCTTTTTCATTTCAGTTGTCGGCAAGTGTGTTAGGTCAATTTTATTATGTTCCGTTAATGCAGGGTATTATATTGAATGCATATTGAAGGACTGTCATTCATATGCTATCTTATGATCTGTGTCATACCCATCTGTGTATACCCTACAGTCTCTTGCAAAGTGTCTTAAAATAGTTGAAACTAAATATTTGATGAATGCTTAAATAAATCATTATTTCCTATGCCCTTATCCACCATTATTTCCTTTCTTCTCTTTCACTGCCTTTAATTCCCTTTAAGGCCTTCTCCTCTCCCTCCACCCCACCCTGCCTCTTTTCTCCAGATTTCTCTATCCTTGTGTCCTGGCAATTTCAAGATTTTTCCATAAAATAAAACTGAGGTAATTGTTCTATATCTCAGAAATGGGAGCTTTAATACTCCTCCCCCACAAGGTTTTTGTGGTTGAATATAAAGCATGTAGCATCATGCCTGAGACCAAGTTGGCACTCAATAAATATTCTTCTTGTTCCAATTTAAGGAGCAGGAAAGACAGTCATTTGGAATTTGTGAAATTTTTTTTTCCTTTTTCTGCAAAAGAGTTTCTTTCCCGATTGTAAATGTAACTCATGCTCACTGTAGAAAACTTGAAAATATAAAAAATAAAGAAGAGAAGTAATTCATAATCTCACAACCCAGAAATTAACCTGACATTTTGATCAATTTCCTTATCTTCTTCTCCTGTACATATATCTGTTTTATACACTCTGTGTAATCTTGCACATATTGTTCTGTATTGGATTGTGAGAATGTTCCCAGGGAATTGAACATTTGTAAGAAAGGACGGTTTTATTAAAGTACACACAAAACATTACAGATGATAAAAGAGGCATGTACTATAGGTGAGCAAATCATAGCATATAGATAAGAGTAATTTGAAATAAGTTTTCCTTTTATTGAACATACGGAGCACAAATTAAAATGCTTTCACGGGCCAGGAAGGGAAAACAGCAGTGAAGTAGTACTCAGTAGTAGGAGACAGTAGGATCTTTGGTAAACTGCAGAATGAATGTCCTGCCTGATAACATCTAAATTCAGTTTTAAAAACAGGATAATAGCCAAACAAAGCACATTTGGCTCACAAGCTACTTGATTGTGAGCCTTGACTGAAAGCATCATTTTCAGCTCCTTTATGCATGACCCTGTGTTGAGTGTTAGGGGTGGGGCAGATGACTAAAGAAATAACAAATAGGGAAACAAATAAGACGAATAAGGAAAGAGCTCATGCATATATAAATAATGCTCATTTTATTTGGAAAAGCAAGATATGTCAAATGCTCTCAGTGGAACAAAAGTCTGGGTAGTTAAGTACTATTTCCATTGCTCACACAATTACTCAAGAAGCCCCTATTTAATAAATACCCTATGGAACTCAACTATTTCTATATCCTGGCTGTTAAGTGCTTTTATGGATTTGTTTACAATAATTCTCTATTAAAAAATATTTAATGCTTTTATCATTTCTGTGATAGCAGTGCAGTTTATGAAAAAAAATACTTCAGTGGCGACTGGGTGGCTCAGTCAGTTAAGTGTCTGCCTTCAGCTCAGGTCGTGATCTCAGGGTCCTGGGATCAAGCCCCACGTCAGGCTCCCTGCTCAGCAGAGAGTCTGCTTCTCCCTCTCTCTCTGACCCTCTTCCCTGCTTGTTTGTTTAATTTATATATATATTTATATTTATATTTATAAAAATATATTTGTTATGCTATTATATTTATAAAAATATATTTACTTATATATGTCTATACATATATATTTTTTATATTTATATTTATATATACACAAACATATACATACACACACTTTATTCCATTTCTGTTGTCCCAGAAGAAGGAAGGAGAGAGAGTGCTTGAACAAAAGTGTATGTTGTCCATGACTGCTTTTC